TCTAAACTAATTAATTATCAATACTTAATGAGTGAATCTAGATTACTTTTCTAAATATGTTAATGTATATGGAGTATGAATTATATTTGCTAAAGTTGCAGATGCAAAATCTAAACAAAATATATGAATTTTTGTATTTATTGATTTTTATATTAATGATATTATCCATTAAATCATTTCATTATGAACATACGTAGGAATTACAGTATCTTTAATACTAGCTTTCTGTAAAATGGCTAAACAAAATCGTTAAGTAACAGATCCATTTTCTTATTCTTTTAAAATTTTAATTATTTTCTCTATTATAATCATATTTCCACCATTATATGTCAAATATTCAACACCTCTTAAAGTACTACTGATTACACTTATTAAACTTGCTATTGCATGTCTTAAACTTTAATTATTAATATCTAATAGTTGAACAATAAAATCAAATTTATCAGTAGCATCAATATTAAAAATATCATTTCTAATTAATTCATAGACTAAGTTTTTTCTTAATTCTGGTGCTATTTAAAGTGCATTTACTCTTAAAGACAATAATACTTCTATCATACCATCTACATTTTTATCTTGATAATTTTTAAAAAGTTTAGTTTTATGTTCATGCATAACCTATTCAGTTATTAATTCATTTCCTTCTGGTTTTCCTTCATTAATTATGACTTTATGATATTTTCCTAATTAAATTTTATAATTCTCTAAGCTTTCACTTAGGTTTTCATTTTTTGCAGTTTCCTTTAATTAATGTAACAATTATAAGAGATTAATACTAACTGAAAAGATTTGTCTACCAGCTTATAAAATTTATTAGTATTTTTTATTGAATAATTTTTATTCCTTCTCTAAATTAATCTCTCTTTTTGTTTTGTTATTGTCAGTTTTCAATAATTGAAATATTCTTGGAATGTCATCATTTAATTATTTTTATTATTGTTATTTATTAGACATCTAAATTATGAATTTTAATTACTTTACTAGATACTTGTTTACTTTTAATTTCAGCTTCAAAACATTCAAGTGTGTTAGAATATGCTGAATATTTAAGATATTCTTTGATATATTCATTTATCTCGTTAGAATCTGGAACTTAAGAAAATACTTAATTTGAATTTCCAGATTTCATTATTTATATATTGATATCTAAATATAATACACAACTCACCATTGAATTATGGAATATATTAATTTTTAATTCTTTTTTGAATAGAATAATATTCATTTAATTATGTATTCAAGCAATTACATAGTTATTAGAATAAATATTCATAATTGCTTTTGATTTTTTCATGGATCAAGTAATTACAATATTTGACATTTATTGTTTTTAACCTTATTAATTAAACTTGATAAGTTAAGGTATAAGTTAAATTCTTAATGTTCTGAATTTTTAGAGTAGATTTACTTTCAAAAAGAATTTAGTTAAATAATCATCGTAATAATTAGTTTAGTTTGATAATTATTATTTAATAATTAAATCTAAAGAGGAAAGGAATTGAAAAATTATAAGAAAATTTAATAAGAAATCAATTAACATAGTGAATATTCATAAAGAGTCAATAGTTTATGAAATTTGGATGAATAATAATTAAACAATAGATTTATTGAAGTTGATATTAGTTTAATGCAATAATTAAATCATTAAACTTCAAGAAAGTGTATTAAAAAAGGGAGAAACTATAGTGTATATAATATTATTGAAAATAAAAACCCTTAAGAAACAGATAAGAATGATTTAAAATCTTTTCCAAAAAGGTTTTGAATATTCTAAAGAAAAAACATCATGATTATAAGAAAACTTATAGCTAAGATTAGAAGATGATAGGCATAAAAAATTAAAATAAAATGAAAATGATTCTATATTAATAAAAAATAGAGTAAGAAAGTGTTTGAAGAATCATACACTCATTTATAAAAATAAAAAATGCACTGAAACTTTATGACTAATTAAAAACAATGAATGCACTCATCCTAAAATGAAAATTTGATTCGAAATTTAAAGACAAAGTGTTAAAGATTATATTGGTAAGAAAAAGATTCAATGTGAAATAATTAATGAACTATTTTTTAACAAATTAATCTTACTTAATACCTTAAATAAAAAATTTTAATAAACCATAATGTATTTATTAAATTCATAATTCACATTTATTTTTATAAAAAGTGATACTAAATTTATATTAAATTAATAAATAGATCTGATAAAAAAAGAGAGTAGATAAAGTATTGTAATAAACTATTAAAAAATATCTTTTAAATTCATATTTCAATTAAAAAGATTTTAAATCCAATTTTTGGTATCTTATGATAAGAACAGATATAAATTGAAATATTTAAAAGTAAATTTGCAACAAGAATAGTTTTACTTTTAATCTAATATTACAAAAATATTGAATTTAAAGATGTTTACTAATCCAAAAGATTTTATAATCAATAAGAAATATAGTATTTGTAAGACATAAATAGAAAATTTACATAATTAATCATATAAATTAAGATTAATTTAAAAATTAAATAACATAAAATTTTGAAATTAATTATATATTAACAGAATATAGTCAATATTTAGTTTAATTAGATCAAAAATAGAAGTAATATTTATTAATAATTGAAGATATTGATAAAATGTAAGATCTTAATTAATATAATTAAAAAATAATTTTTATTAGATTAATAAATTAACTTTCAAATTTTATTTTATTCTAATTTTCTGATCTAAATTTTCTTTGAATCCATATCCCATATAAATAAGTACATTCCATCATCAGAAAGTGTTCCTGAAATAGAACAAGTCTTAAATTCTATTGATTATTCAGTGATCAATTCCCCATTTTGTGTAACTTTTATCAAATTTATTACACTTCCATTTTTACTTGCAAGTAGAGACTTTGATTTTATCCATTTCTCTGTAAATGGATATTCAAATCCAGGACTTGATTTTACATTAAATTCTTGAGTTTTAAAAAAATATTAATTCAAAGAATGTTTTGTATATAAATGAATCTTATCTAATTTATAAGGCTAAAATGTAAACTAATTCTCTCCAATAAATTAAACTCTTGCTCCTTTCATTTCTAAACTAATAGTTTGCATTAAAATCCATTATTACTCCTCTGCTTAATATTAGATAATAGATATATGATTATCTTAACCAGATCCTGAAATTAATAAATTTTCTGATTCATTTAAGCTGATAAAATAAATAGAACTTTGATGTTAAGAAAATGTCTAATAACAATTCCATCTTTTTTATTACTTCCAAAATTTGATAGTACCATCATGACTACCTGAAATAATCAAATCTTCTTATTTATTCATAATTAATTAAGAGATTCCACTATTATGTCCTTCTAATATATGTTATATTTAAAACTATTAACTATTTTAATTATTCCAAACAATAATATTTTTATCATTACTTCCGGATATAAATGAATTTGATCTTTTCATAAAATATAAAGATTGTACATTAAATTTATGGTCATTTAATGTTTAAATTAAAGACAACATTTAATTTTTAAAACTAAATACTTTAATTTAACTAAATTGATAACCAGCTAACATAATGGAATTATCTAAATTTAGGGCAATTACTGCAATATGATTTTCATATAACTAATTACCTTCCATTAATTAATAATTTATTTTATTACTTTTCAATTCCTAGTTTATAGTCTTTAATTAAAGATTATTTGTAAATTACTAAATGATTTTTTTTAAATTTTCATTTATTTCCTTAACATAATTTAAAATCAATTACTTTTCTTTTTAAAATTATAAAGAAAAGGACAAAAATTGGTTAATTAATTAAGGAGATTCAAGTTTAAAAGAATTAATTTCATTTGATTTAAAATATAGAACTTCTTTAAATTAACAGAATTGAAAATTCAGTTGATTGATATGTTGTTCGATTTGTTATATGAAAGACAAAAACTCTGTCTTTTATTCTTAAACTACTTTATTAAGTTCTGATATCCAAAGTACATAATTTTAATGGTCAATATGGAATCCAGCTTTATAACAATCTTAACAAGAGAGCCGAAATTATTTACAATTTTCATCAAAACAAAACATATCTATATTTTTAGAATGATTTTTCAAAGGACATCTAAATTGAGGTTCATTCTAATTTTCCATCAAATGTATTAAATAAATAAATAAATTAATTAGTAATCTTAAGGAATTAAATTGAAAAAGAAGAAATTATTTACGTCAGATTTTTAACAAAATTATTTTATTTATTAAAGAATTAAAATTATAATTATAAATAAAAATGATAAATTCAATAAAGTATTAAAAATTTAATTTGAGGAATTTAAGCTTAAACATTTTTATATATATTAAATCTATTAAAATTTTCTTTTATTTATTTAATCATCATTTTACTTATAAAGCAAATCTTGATATAAATATCTCTCTATATCTCAGTTTCTCTTTAAATAGTATTGGAGACTATTTGATATAATATTTTATATAAATAATCTTAGGATAAAACTTAAGAATATTTAATAAGTTAATTAAGAAACAAAATAATATAATAATATAATAAACTTTTTGGAATCATATACATATAATTATAACATCAATGACTATTTATTTTTCGTACGACCTTTTATATGAAAATGCTAATAGACATACTATAGACTTTTGAATGTAATTATAAATATTCTATTCTGATATTCGATTTTGCTGTTTTATTATTTTTTGATTAGTTCATAATACTATTTAAATTGATAATGCCATAAATTAAGGATTATTTTAGTATTATATAAAAATTATTAAATGATAATTATTTTAAATTGTTTTCAATTTAGAGAGATAAATACTCTAAAAAATTCATTATTATCTAAAATCCAAAGAATCAAAAAAGATGTTTTTAGTTCTAGTAAAAGACTTTCCAAATCAATATATTTTCAACAATAAATATAGAAATAATACAAAAATATTTTAATTTTATAAATAAATATGATTGTAGTTGCAAGAAATTATTAAATCATTCATTTTTTTGTGCATTTATTTTTGAGATATGCAATTAATGACTTTAATTTCTACCAAAATGAAAGCATTATTTCATATATTAAAAAGAAAAGTTACAACCCAATAGACAAATAAATACTTATTCCCACAACCCATCCAATTTGATAAATAGATTCATCCTTTAATATTTTGAATCTGTCTTAAAATGCAAAAATTATTGTAGAACCTAAAATTAATGTTATACAAAAATCAGGGACTAAGTTTAAGATATATTATTTCTTAGTTTTAAATGGATTACTTGATAATAATAGCAAGATATTTAATAGACATGATAAAAAGCATATTAATGTTTAAAAGATAGGATAAGCATATAAAATAACAGTTGAAAAAATAAAAATGGTTTTCCGTATTAAATTTAAAAAAGAATATGCCATCGCAGTTTATGATTCAGTTTTCATATCTTCATAGAAACAACTATATCTTTAAAAAAACAATTTATTATTTAATTTGATATGATGAGCATTTGAAATTTAGTAAGAGATATTTAATAAATACAAAACTAATATAAGAAATCCATAAGCAGCAATAATATTAATTTTTACGATTAGTTCATGAGCTGTTTACTAATTAGTAATTTAAAGTATCACAGCTAAAGTTATATCTAAATAACTTATAGCAAAAGATCTTATTAAATTAGCAATTAAATTACTTTTTATTGAAACACAATTTTTAAAGAATGATTAAAGAGATTTAGGTATTTATAAATCTTTATAAAGGTTTGGAATTACAACTAATTATTAAGTTTTTGTTGATTCTTCATGCTTTACATCCTTGCCTAATTAAAAGATGCTTGCTTAATTCTTAATTTTTTTACTTTTCTTCTTGCATATTAATTCAAATATCTTAATAATCATCACACTAAGAAAGTATGTAATTACAACTTAAAATGCAAAAATTATTGGTGTTTATATATTGTTAAATAATAAAGGATCTATTTCTTTTTCAACAAACTTGATTGGGGCTTAGAAGTAATAATCATCTGTTGGCTTATTAAATAGATTTATAGATGGTATATTTATTATATTGCTCCATTCAGCTTACTAAAATATTATCCTTACATTTTCTGGATAATTAACATTTAAAAAATAAAAGTTATTCATCCAACTCATTATGTCAAGGATGGCCAAAAAAAATTAAAATCCTCCAAATGTTATTGCCAAAGGAACCAAATATATTTAAGCTTAAAAAACAGTTTAATAAGTTTAAGCCATAGCTTCACCTTAAATTTTTTATTCCTCAGTTACATATACTTATCTCTAAGGAACAATTATTATTTCCTTATTAATATTTTCTTCTAATTATCTTTTTTTATAATATTCTTTATAAGAGATAGATATATGGATTAAATTGACTGGTTCTATTGTTTTTTTATAAGTAAAGTTTAAATCTAATTAGTTATTGTTTTCAATGACGCTATAATTATAATCTAAAATTGAAAATCCTTCAATTGAGACTGTTAAAGTTGATAAATTTAATGATTCTTAATATTAATTTATCAAAAGAGAAAATTGATTATTATTGGATTATTTTTTCTCAACTTAAATAGAGGGCTCTTTTTATAGAGAATGAGTTAGATGATCAAATAAATATCCTTCATCTAATTAACAAAACTCATTACATCCATCTTAAACATCTCTATTACCATCATCACATTATTCATGAAGATCCAAAACACCATTTCCACATTATAAAACACATTCGTAAAAATCTAAATCATTTAAAAGTCCTTAATTTAAATTACATTTTTTTTGTTAATTTTACTAATTTTTTGTATATTGAGGATTTACAGTAGTGCAGTTTTTGTAATTCTGACTGCATTCAACACACATTAGATCACATTATTAACATTACTTAAATTCATCAATAAAATAACCTGGAAGACAATCTGAGCAAATTTATGATTGATTAACTAAATCACATTTAAGGCAATTAAAATCTTAACATCTACTACAACCTTAAGATACCATATTCTCATCGTAATAACATAAAAATCCTTTTTCCAATAAACAGTTATAACAACCATCTCTTATTTAATCATTACCATCATCGCATTCTTCTATTTAAATATTTAATATTCCATCTCCGCATATATTTTTGCTACATTATTCCCCACATACATAAACACATATATTATTGCTATCTAAGATCCATTCTGGAGACTAACATTCATAACATACTCCTTTAATACAAGATAAGCATTCATTTTAACATAAATTTTAACATGTTTCACATTCACAAGTATTATTTTTTAGTATCCAATCAGGACTTAAACATTCATAACAAAGTCCATCTACACATTTAATACATTCTCTTGAACATTCATACAAACACCCATAACATCCATCATAAGGTAATTCATTACCATCATCGCATTATTCATCCATAGATTTAATACCATCTCCACAGATAGATAAACATCTGTTATTGAGGTAATCAACTTATCCTTATCCTGAAGTCTAATCACATTCTAAACAGTTTCCAAAAACACAACTTAAACAAAATTAAGGGCAATCAAATCTATTTTAAAAGCAACCATCTAATCCAATCAAATTTTAATCATCGCATTATTCTATTCCAATCACTAATCCATCGAAATTGTTTTCTTAACAAATATTATTAATCATAAAAAATCCAGATATACATTTTTAACACAATCCTTAAAAGCCTTATTCACATGATATTGGATATTAATATTATGATAAAAAGCAACCATCATTTTAAATTTGGTTGCCATCATCACATTATTCTTATCCTACTACTAATATATCACCTTCAATCGGATAACAATTTTTATCTATATTATTTAGAATCCATCCGATATTACACTAATAACACTATCCATTCTATAGTCAAACCTTTAATAAATAATTATCTTTTTAAGTTTTTTCTCAAAATTAACATCAAAAAATTTAAATAAAATTCATAAGCAAGTTGAGCAAGAGTCTTAGCATTTGTAGAGACATTATAAACAAAAGTCTTAATCTAATAGATTCTTAGACTCTTATTGATTAATTTCATCACATTATTCGAATTAAATAGCAATTATACCATCCCCACAAATAGGTTAACAAGTATTATTTTCAAGATACCATCCATTTTACTCGTCACATTTTATACAATTATTAAATTAGCAATCAATACAATGATTTGGACATGAAAATTTACAATTGTAACATCCATCATTTGGAATTTAGTTATTATCTTCACATTCCTCTGTTTTCACTAATAGATTATCACCACAAATAGGACTACATCTGTTGTCTACAATCTAGAACCCTTTTTGGCAATCAAAACAAATTCCCTAAAAGCATTCTTTGCAAGTATCATCACAACTAAATTTACAATTATCACATCCATCATATGGATTAGAATTACCATCATCACAATCTTCTCCTTCAACAATTACCAAATCACCACAAACAGGAAGACAAATTACATTGATTCCGTCTTCATAGAAGCCAGGCTAACATAAACATTCATTGTAGGATAAAGTTCTATGAAAATCAGAAACGCAGGTTTCACAATTAGTTATCAAAGCTCCTGTGCATGTTTCACAATTTTAATGGCATTATACTGATGGAGTTGGAGGAGGAGTTGTAGTAATTGATAAACAGACTCCATTTATTAATGTATTAAATTAACTTGAAGGATCACAGGAAGTGCATTCTTCTAAATTTTTACAAGTTAAACATCCAAGTTAATTACATGTAACACAACTATAAGTTTCTGAATTAGAATAAAATTATAGAAACTAATTTGTATTGCAATTTTAATTTGTGTATCCAGATTCCCAAGTAACACAATAGGTTCCATCATTACAATTTTGGCAAAATGGGAGACACTTATAATAAAATTAGAAATTTACATAATGTACAACAATAAAGTAATCAGAAATCGCACAAAATTAATCTCTAGGATCTGCAGTTGAATCTGTACATTGAAACTCAATATTTAATGGAGACGACGTGAATGGATATTAGAAAATTTCAAAATATTATGTAATTTCATTTAAACTCTTACCTATAAAGTTTTAACCACCTAATGAGGGTTTTGGATGAGCATCTGATTTTACTCCTTAAATGGTGTAATAAAAATTTCCATTGTATTCATCACCATATGTAACATTAAATCTAATTGTAACAGCATAATGAGGTTTTGATATACTCCATGATTTTTTATATATTGCATTATTCCATACCATTACACCTCCTAAAACGAATTTAGTTGGAAATATTGAAAACTTTTATCCTGTTAAGAAATTATTACCATTTGTAATAGCTACATCAAAGAATTAGTTGATATCTAAAGTACTCATATTAAAATTATAAAATCCTTTTGCTAGGTAACGAGAATCTAAATATTTATTAATTATTTACGTTGAGTAATATCAGAATAATCAATACAATTAGTAGAATGAACTGGACAAGTAGTAACACATCCATTTTAAAATAAAATATAATTCGTGTTACATTATTGGCATGTAGAGAAATCAGAACATACTGCACAATTTTCTTAGCAATTGCCACTATCAATTGTTATATTTCTGAATCCCCATGTTGAAGTTGCTGAAGTTAACTATTCTCCTTTTAAAATGAGTTTAGGAGCATTAGAGAAAGTTCTAAGAATTGCTTCTATTCTGATTAAATCATAAGCATTTGTGCATGTGACACTTGAACTATAAATTTTTGTTATTTTATTAAAAGTGTAACTAGATGAGGTTTTGATTATTTCACCTTATATTTAGTCATCTAAGATTATTTATATTTTATTATCAGTTTAAAAGCCATTCATATAAAATGAAATCCTGAGTCTTATAAATGTTATGGATTGCGAATTTGCAAATTATAAACTCATTCCTTCATTATAAAGTAAACTGCCTACATAATTATTAGATGAACAAGTGAAAATCAATGATGGAGAGCATCTTAAATTTACAGAATCTTAAATAAATTAAAAAGGAGAATAAGCACTAAAAGTAGTAGATTCAAAATATGAAATATTTGATTTGATTCTTCTATCTGGGACACAAATATTATCTGATCTTGCTATATAGTAATCTCTTTCACATTCTTATCTGCATCCAATTCCAGTTTAAGCAAACTAATGAGAAGGGTCACAAGTACAAGTGTTGCCTGATTATAGAGTACCAAAATAACATGTTAGACAATTAGTGGAACTTGAACACGTTTTACAAGTTGGTAAACAATATTTGACGTAAACAAATAAATTTCGTACCCCAATAGTTTATATCTGGTTTACGTTGTTGATTCCTATTGAGATGTTGAAAATTTCTTGGTATTGCACCTAAGATGTACCAACAATAGTAAAAAAATCAAAATACTATGAGTCTGTAATATTGCATATTCTTCTTGCATTTTAATTTAAATCAGAGTTTATGTAACTCCTTTAATACATTATTTATTGAGAAGATTAGCTTATCGTATAGTTTATTGTAAATTGAGTGATTTTATCAATTGTACTTTCGGCATTATCAAAAAAAATATCAACTATAACTTCTGATTGGTAATTTTTCTTTTAATAGATCTTATCTATTCTTTATTTATCTCTTTTAAGATAAGCATAATTTATAGAATTTTAAGTGCATGTACCAAATTAAAATGTGGCTTAATTGTCAAAGTTCAAAGTAGATTTTGATATCTACCAATTATTAGGAGAGGTAAACCCTGTTAAGAAGCTTGAATCTACAAGCACCCAATCTGATAGGCATGTATTAATTACGATAGATGACACAATCAAAATAAACATTAAATTTAATATTAATACAAATATTAAGATAATATAAATTTATAATTTTCTGGCCTTCATATCAAAGTTTATCAATAATATTTGTTTTTCAATATTTTAATGCTAGGTATATATTTTTTATTCCAAAGCTTTAAATCATTAATTTTGCTCCTTTGGACAAGAATAGGTAAAAATAAGTATGATTTAAAATCTTTAATCTCGAACCATTGAAAAAATTAAGTAAGTTGGTCATAAATAAGGTAGAATGTCTTTCTTACACAATTATTAAAAAACCCTTATTCTATATAATTTTAATTAATATTTAAAAATTATATTAATCCATATTTGCATATAAAAATTTTTATTCTTTTAATTTTATTAATTTTAATTATTTATATACATATTAAATATTATATCTATTTTATCTATTTTTCATACGGTTGCTAAAATTTACCTTAATCAAACACTATAATTTCAAATATTTCAATTTTTGATGCATAAATATTTTATATTCCACAAATAATAGGCAAAATTTATTAAAATTTGATAAAGAACACTAGATTTTTTTTCATAAATTGAAACTTCATTTATAGTAAAAAATTTTTCCAATAAAATCTATTAAATCAGAAATTCTTTATAATCAATAATTTTTTATGATTTCATTGGTATATCATTAAATTTATTAAAAATTTTATCTTTGAAAATTCCCAGAAATCTCCTATTAAAAAATTAATTAAATTTTAATATATTATTTTATTTATTATTAATTCATGAAAAGGCTATCATTTTTGCTTTAGAGCTTGCAAACATTTATCTTGAATTAATATGAATCTATACCTCGTCTAATTTTGGTCCATTAATCATAAGGAAAAACCCTCAAAGCCTATTCATAAAATAAAATTGCTTATTGATATTGATGTTCATCATGTAAACATGCACCTATTAATATAAATGATCTTTATGATAACCTTTTTCTTTTAAAGAATCAAAGTGATTGGGATTTATAGTTAATGATGCATTAATTACTTTAATTGCTTCGTTGAACCTTTTCATCAATCTTAGAGAGGATCCTTTAGTATAGAATCAAAAATACCTTTACATGATAAAGCAAAACAATCTTTAGGATCAATTGCTAATGCTTTATTAGCCCAAAGAATTGCTTCATCATATTTATCCAACATTCTTAAACATGCAGCTAAAAAATAGAAAATATACTTTTACCTTTACAATAAAGTGAAAAACTATGTTTAGGATCTAAAAGCAATGATTTATCAGCCCAAATAATAGCCTTTTTATATTATCCCAACATTCTTAGACTTGCAGCTAATAAATTAATATTTGTAATACCTTTACACCATATTGCTAATTAGTTATTTGGATTTATATTTATTGCTTGGTCTAAGATTAGAATAGCTTCATCATACTTTTCATTATCGTAATATAATTCATATCCTAAATTATTAGATTTAATACCTTTTTAAAATAATTCTAATGATTTCTTAATGTCTTATTCAGATATATGAAAAGAAATTGGTTTTTCATGTAGTCTGAGATCTTGTTCTAATTTTTCAATTTTTTCATTAAAATCAAATAAATTGTTTTGAATTGAATTTTTGATTAAAGATTTATATGATTGAAAATTTATCAATTGTTCTAAGGTCTAATTCAATTATGAAATATTTAGTAAGATCAATTATGAATGTGATATTAAGTATTTTTCTTTGATTCCTTGAATGAATTTTAAAAATTAATGATTGATTGAATTCCATTATTTAACCAATATATCAAGTAGATCATCACATTCTTAACCAACTTTTACAACATAATCAAACAATTTAGGTAATTCAACACATCTTTGGGTATGATTTTGATGAATTTCATTTGTTTTACATTAATTACAAAACAATCTAGTGTCTTGGCAATATGGTTCAAAACAAACAAATTATACAAGAGCATCATGATTAGGAATTGAGCATTTTAATATAATGTCATTATTTTGCATGATAATAAATATTAAGATTAATTATCATAAATATAAGTTATTAATTTATCTATGCTAAAAATATAAGTGTAATTCATTATCAAAATATATATATAATAATTAATGTTTTAATTCTTAAAAATATCCACCATCAGGTAATAAGTTAATTAAATATAAAAGCAATTTAAGATAAAGAGGAACATTAATTTGTAAAATAAAGCCATTATATTAATATAAGATAATAATGATTAAAAAAATATTTGCAAAATAATAATTCAATCTAAAATTCTAAAATATCTTAGTTTTTTATTCGCAAGATCAACAAAATATTTTTATGTAATAAATACTTATTTATAATAATTTCTATTATATTTTCCTAAATCTAAATCAGGTTTAATTGTAATTCCTGTTATGAGATTTGTTCTTTCTATTTTATTTCCATCCTTATAATTTAATTTAGAAAAATTGTATTTATAAATAGATTAGTCGTTTTTAAATATTAGATCATCATATAGATATTTAAATTTCCGAATAATTTTAAAATTATTGAGTTTCTTAACATATATTTAATTTGGTTTATTTACTTATTATACAATAATCGAATTATTAAATATCCAATTTTGGCTATCTTAATTATAATTCTTTTATAAACTTCTTTGAAGTATTTTATTATTAGATAAAAAAACTAAAAAGTTATTTCTTAATGTTTTAACAAATGCATAATTTTAGTACAGTTTTTCAAAGTTAATTAATACTTCATTCATTATTTCTTACTTGATATTAATTGTTTTTTATGAATTATTCTAAATGCAAAAAACAACAAGTTTATTTGTTTCGTCATATTTAGAATTAAGCTTATAAATATTATTTTCATAATCAATTGAAATAATTGAATCACGCTTTTTATCAATTGATATTTCTTTAAATGTCTCTAAATCAACAAGAAAATTTTCTGAATCATCTTCTATAATAAGATATTTTGAATCATAAGTAAAAAACATTTTGGAATTATCATAAAATTTTCTTTGATACTTAAGATTTTTTGTTAATGTATCAATAACAACATGAAAATAGCATCTTTCTTCATAATCGTTTTCTTTGTTTATATTAAATGCAATAAATTTTGAATTCGGTGAATTTATAACTAAATCCAATCGCCAATCATAAATCTGTTCTGATATATCACTTTCATCAGATTAATCTTAAATCTCATCATCACTATATTTTTATTTTGGTTTATTTAAGATTTACTTTCTTTTCCTATTAATATCTATTAAGTTTTCTAAATTATACTCTTCCTAAAAGACAATTTTTATTCTTTACTTCATATTCAATAAATTAATATTTATAAAGTTATATAGAAATATATATATATATTCAAATAACATAATACTAATTAATTTGATTTCAATTATTGTTAAATATTAAAGTAAATTAGATCATAATGCATATCTATATATATGGTAATTCATAAATATCAATACAAAAATATAATCTCAAATTATTCTATTAATTTCCTTTAATTATTTAGACAATTTAAGAAATACAAAATTACTTTTTAATTGAATTATATCAGTTTTTAATATTAATAACTTAAATCTCTCAAATTTTTTAAATTAAGGATTGTAATGGCAACATTTTTTTCAAAAATATTCCTTATTAAATACTTTCAAAATAATTTTCGTTATGAATTAATTCATACCCACTTAAAATAAGATCATTATTGAAAACTAAAATTCAAAATTGATATATATCCATTTTCCAATCTGTCTACCAATATTATCGTAATTACCAACTCTTCTATATTCATATCAAATTAATTTACACATTTTTAATTATTCCTTTGTTTTAAATCTATTCTATATAATAGAACTACTAGTATATTTAATTTAGGTATAATGTTCACTTTTCATTTTTTAAAACTATAAAATATTTAAAATAGTAAATTAAATGATTCAGTCATTTCGATTTAATTTCCATATCGGCTCTTGATATTTCATTAATAAAATTTATTTCTATTAATCATTTAAAATCCTAATAATTTAATATACATAAGTAGAAGATCCAGAAAAATAAAATAGAAAGAAACTTTATTTGAAAAAGTCAGCAATTGTCTATTGAACAATAATATAATCTACTCAATTTTTTAGCATAATAAATTAGATTTATCGATAATGATTAATAAATTTAAATAATTTGGATATAAAATTTATAAAAGTACAATATTTAAATCAGATCTCTTCAATAACTTTATCATAAAAGATATTTTATATCAAGGAGATTATTATTAATAATAAAAAGTGCCCTAAAATGTCTACGTTTTGTACAATTAAAATTTTTCAAATTACTTGAGTATTTTCTTTTATAAGAAGATTCTTATTTGTTGATTCTTAAAACAAGTTCATCAATCTTTATCATAGATACTTTTATGAATCCACATCCCATTCCCAATTCCCAGTTTTTATATTAGTTTCAGATATTAAAACAATTATTCCAAAAGTTAATAGAAAATTTATTATAAGAATCTAAGACACCCTTACAATTTTATTATTTTTATAATAAAATTCTAAAAAATTTATTCCATTCAATTTAGTAAATATTGGATTTTATAAACTTTGATTGATTTATTTTCTTAATTAGTATTAATAAATCAATTAGGATTACAATAATTATATAAATGTTTCTCTTCTCACTTAACTTAAGTTTGTTCAGTAATTAATTTAAGAAATACAAGTTAATCCAGCAGAATTTATTAAAAAAATAAATTTTAATAAATTAATTAAATAATATATTTATAAAGATTATATTATTTTAAATTGAAATTTTTAGTTGAGATTCTGAATTTTTTACTCTATTTTGCATGTTGATAAATATTAATTGAATTAATATCAAATCTAATTTATAATGTTATTTATAGATTAATTAATATTAGTTCGATTCAGAAATATGATTATATCATACTTTTCAATTTAATATATAATCTTTCTGTACGATAATGATATATTCTACTTATTCATTATAATTTTGATTGATATTCTGTTTTATTATATATATGTAAATGAAAAGGTTAAAAACAAATTTAAAGAACTTATCTGATTCCAATTAAAAAAAAACCACTTATTTAAGCTATATAATAAGATATTAATATTATTAATAAAATAACTTCTATTCTTTAAAGTATAACATAAGAATTTATGTTATTTATCATAATTTAAGCTTTTATAAGGTCAATAATAACGTAGAAAGTTATCTATATGTTTTTTGAATAATAAATTAAAATGAAAATTTTTAAGATCTTAAAATCAATGGATGTATTTGGTGCAGCACTGTTTTAAAGAGTTGATCAGAATGCTTAAATATATAAAAGTATTTTTGGAGGTGTAATATCACTATTAATTTTTTCATCAAGTTTGGCCTATACAATATGGGAATTCTATAAGTGGAATACTTACCAATTAAATCCTAAAATATCGACATTTCTTTATGCATCTGATTTCTCATTATTAGATTAGAATTATGGAATTCTTAAAATAAATTATTGGAAAGACAATATTGATACAATTGATCCTTTTGAGAACAGAATTTTAATACCACTAATTAGTTATACTGAAAATTATGTTGTTGTTGATACTTAAGTTTTAAAATTTTCAAATGAAACGAGTTATAATGGAAATTAGTTTCTGATTCCTTAAATGAAACTTGGATTTTCATAAATAAATGGTTCTTTAATGACGACATCTGAGATGTACATATACTTTGTTAAATGTTCTGAAGAACTATTGAATGAGAATGAAAAATGTGCTTCTTAAGAAATTATTGATGATTTCTTTAAATAACCTTTAAATACAATAGTCATGCAAATTCATTACAATTAATTAAATTCTAAAGATGCATCAATTGAATAAAGTGTTTAAGAGTTTTTAATTTAAGTTGAATAAGAAAACTGCTATACATTAAATACATATCTTCAGACAACAAATTATGAAGTGAGAAATTAGTTTCTTTTTGGTGAACCTTATTATTATGAATTTGTTAATGGAGTCTAAATATAACCTCAAACTAATTCTTTAAATTATTGTAAGCAAGCTTTTGGTTATGAAACATATTCTGTAATTTATATTGAGATGAAAGGGAATTAGTTCAAAACAATATTAGAATATCCAAATATTGCAGATATATTGGCAAATATTGGTTCAATAGTATCAGTACTATATATGGTTAGATTCATAATTATATAATTAAATTCTTATTTTTTACATTAATAGGTTATAAGTGATTTAATCTCATTTTATTATCCTCAATTTTAAAATATTAAGATATTTAGAAATTGGAGATTTCAGATAATTAAAGTTTAACTTAAAAATGAGTAAATAGATATTAGAGAATACGAATCGTTCTATAGAAATATTAAAAGTTAGATGGAATTGAAAATGACACTTTTAAATATACTATATGAAATATCAAGACTGTATTTTTTAATAAGATCAATTAAAATAAGAGAAGAGATAGAACGATCTCACTAAATTGGGATTAGTTTAAGTTCTATTTTTCAATAGAATAATGAAATAGAATCTACACCAAAATCTACACCAAGAAAATCAGAATAACTATTATTAAACAATTTAGATGTTAATATATTATCTCTTACTCAAAGAAAACTTTAGAGATTGGAAAGTATTGAAAATGAAATTCCAATCGAACAGAATGATTTCTATAGTGTTAACAGTATATATTCTTGAAATAAAATAAATCATTTTCATTAAAGGTCTTTTATTTAAAGATAAAATTTCATTTTTATAAAAATAATAAGATTTTGCTTAATATAATTGTTAATTTATTCTTATGTATTATACATAATTATCTTTGATTTGTTATTGATATTTTTTAATCATTTTTATATTTATAATAAACATTTGAATTTATTATAACACTTACTTAATTTAAAAAGCATAATTGATATCTTTTTCTATTAGGTTTTCTTATAATAATAATAATAAATTTTAATTAATAAAATAAACTGGTTAATAATGTTCTTAAATTATTTAATTTTAAATTAATAAAAAAATTAATATATTTGATTAAGATCAAATTTATTATTTAAATTATAATAGATATATCATTATCAATGTATATCTTGTCTAAACTTTAAAAGATATAGTTCGGTAGTATATTGTTTATGTCTAGGCAAGGACTCAGAAGTAAACAAAGTTGTCAGAGATCTTATTTAATATAATTACTTTACTTTTATTATTCTAATTATAATTTGGAAATATATATTAAATGATGCCTTAATTTATAAAAATTTGATCTTAGTCTTTGTTCTTTTTAATTCCAAATATAAATTTTATTCTTTAGATATTTATTTAAACATGAAGTGCATTAAAAAATATTAAATATCTTTGACAATTAAATTAAAAATTATCTTTTATATTTCTTATGATATAATTTAAGTAAACTGTTTATAAATGGAAAACTTAATTTAATACTAAGTAATACTAGAATCATCTAAAGAATAAACGAAAGTACAAAATTATCTTATTATTCACAAATGTACTTAATTACAGCTAAAAATATTGAAATAGAGCATATTTAACCTGCTTTTACATCTATTTTATTAAAATTTTAAATAATATAAGGTTATTATTCTAATGCATATAATTAATAAAATAATAAACATAATCCTAAAAGTGTGGCTTTTAAATAAATATTTGTCTCAAAATATGTTAAGATAATAATCACAGATGTCTTTTTGGCTAATTTAACCCATTCCCAAAAAAAATTTGAATTATTATATTCATTAAATAAATAACAAAAATGTTTTCTAAATTAAATAGATTCTATTTAATCTTTTTTAACATACAATAACAATAAAAGTAAAAATGGTAATAGCCATCCAATTAATCCCAAACCTGGAATAATAAAACTTATCATCCATTTAATATGATCTGATGTACCAAATTTTAATGATACATCACCTTAGATATAATTAATATTTGAGATTTATCTTTTAGCCAATAATGAAAAAAATCTAATAAAAATAAAAATATACTATTTAATCAAAGCAGCATAATTAGACACATACAAATAAAGTGCAGTTATTGATATAATGCTAGCATCAAATTTTTTTTCATAAAATAATTCAATAAATAAAAATCCTAAATATATTAATATAAGTAAGGAAATCATCAATATAAACATTGTAATAATTCTGAGATATATTAATTCTATATTATGAATTTATAATAAAAAGCAATCTAAATTATTTGCCATGAAATAAGATGGATTACTAGTTTAATCAATAAAATTAAATGAGAATGTAAAATTGATATTTAATGAAAATATTGCAGAAAATATCCATAAATAATTCAGAAATAATTTAATTATTATACTTCCATGATCTATTTAAGATTAAATTAATACCTTAATTGAGTTTAAAAATAATATTAGAAAATCTTTATCTTAATTTACAAGAAATAAATAATTTATTTGATTTTTCAATACTACTTAATGTAAGAATGATAGATCCAAGTGACCTAATTAATTTAATGAAATATTAATTTATACCAAAGTGATGCTACAATAAACAATAGAATTCTATTTGATAGTCCTTCACATAATTGACATTATAAATTATATTAGTTTTTATAATAATATCCTTCTCCTCTAATATTATATTTATCACATTCTTCACATAACCCTCCTATATAACCAGAGAAACAAAGATTATCACCAACAAACCACCCTCCTTTACATATATTAGGATACTTAAAACAATATTCAACATCATCTGAATAATAATTTGGTCTCCAATAACCAACTTTTAAGTTTATTTAATTAGATGTAATATTGTAAAATTTATTTTTATCAAAAATGGAACATTTCGTTGAATTATATGTTACAGAATAATATCCTTATTTATATTAGCAAGTTTGACAACTATTTTAAATGTAAAATTCTCCTAATTGACATTTTAAAGTTGCAATTTTTATACCATACTATAATTCAGAAAATGAATTATTGGGTTAGCATATAATTAAAAGTTGTTATTATTAACTAATTTCCATATATGGATCAAATGAAAATTATAATTAAGAAATATCAAAATTACCAAATAAAGTGTTAAATTTTATTATTTATGGTAACTTGGTATATTCAAGTTTATTATATGTAAATATTTATTCTTATATTTTACAAGTTGAATTTGTAAATTATATGAGTTTTTCATTTAAATTATTCTTAAAAGAAATTGAAAATTCTTAAATATATTTTTGAAATGATTAATCATTGGGATTGAAAATTTGATAATTTTTAATTATTTAATTACTTGGTAGTACTAATAAATTAGTTATTATTACTTTTCCTTATTCAATAATTTAATATGGATCCAATTTTAAAATATTAATCTAAATATTATCAATATATTTTTAAATAGATAACATATCTTATTAATTTATAGACAATGATAAATGAGTAGGTAATTCTAATAAATTTGAGGGTGATAAGTTTGCTTTATTTAAAGATATAACAGATTTAATAAAATTATTTTCATTTATATTACTATTTCCTAAAAGATATATTCCACCAGCTTCATTAGCTTAATTCAATTAAATTTAAGAGTTTATTATGACAAATTCATTCTAATCTAATTGTAAATTAAGACCTCCACCTTAAATTTAAGCATAATTGTTTAACAACTTTGAATTATATAATGCCAATTTAACATTTTTAGTTTTAATCCCTGTTCCTGATCCTCCATTGTTCTTATAGAAAAATGAATTTGTTATTCGAATGATTGAATTTAATTTATCACTTTATTAGGCTAAAATACACCCATATAAGTTTACAGAGTTAAATAAACAATTAAATTCAATTATATCAATAGAAGAAAAACTAATTAGATCAAATAAAAGAATTGCATTAAATAACTGTTAACTATTTACATTCATAGCTTAAATTGATGATAAAAATATTTTATTAAGAATTGATTAGCTTTAAAAATAAATGAGTGATCCCTATTAATTTGAATCTTATATTAATTGTTAGAAAAATGTATCAAATCCAATATCATTTATTTTTAGACTCTATATTTAAATTTCATTTATTAAACTACAATTTTGATTAAGAATTTCTATCTTGTTATAATCATATGATAAATTTAGAAATTCAATTTAATCTAATTAAGTTATATTTTAAAATGTTAAATCTTATATCATTACAGTATATTTATTATTAGGACTATGCCAAATATGTATAAGATCAACTTTCAGAATCAATTAAATTTAAATAAAGTAGATTTTTACCATTTAAACTTTATAAGTATCAATTAACTTTAAAATAGAAGATGATAAAACACCTTAATATCTGAATTATTTTATAATTATAATACAACCTGATAAATTAATAATAGCATTATCATTTAAGATTTTTTATCTATCAATTAAGGATAATGTGTTAAATTTTTGAAGATATTACTTGAATTCTAGTTTGTTTTATATAATTTTTACATTCTAAATTAATACTTTATTGTTTTTTATACTCATCAAAGAAAATTAAGTTTTAATTAAAAGGTTTGTAAGAGAAAAACAATTAAATATTGTAATATTTTTAATTACAATATTATTGATATTCTAAGATGGGATTATAAAAAGTATTGGAGATGCAAACTTATTTAAAATATCAGTAAAAAGTATATTTGTTAATTCTAGTTATAATAAACTGCTTTATGAGTTAATAGTAATACATCCTTCATTTTCAGCAATATTCAAATCTAAACTTTCAATTAAATTAATTTCTAATTTTTTTATCTTTATTATTCCTTTTCCTTAAGTATGAATATTGAATAATTTACTATTTAAAGTGAGTATATATTATAAGATACCATTAATTATAGTACAATCTTCAGTTGTAAATGATAAAACTCCACCTGTATTTTGAATCTTTAATACTTTTAATAATATTGTATTTATCTAATTTTAATTTATAATATTCTTTATTTCAAATAAGGAATAGAGAGTTGTCATATTTAATATATTATGTTTTTAGATTTAGAATTCAGAAATATTAATTATTTTACTATTGATGTAAATAAAAGAACTTGTAGAATTAGTTAATATATTCTATGAACATGATAAATTAGTTATAATAACTGAACTCTATTATGATATTATAAATAATAGACTTGCTGTAGTTTGAGATGAATCATCTATATATTGATGATATACATTCTCTTAAAATTAGATATTATTAATAATTATTAATTGGCTCTTCTCAGAGTAAATTGATATTAATGAAAATAAGTTTCTTAAATTTATTTTTAACAAAGTATTTTCAATAAATCTTAAATCTTATATATTGATGAATTCTTATTCTTTTGTTAATAAATTAGAAAAAATTTGAATAAAAGATCGATCAATACTCTTAAAATTCTTAATAGTTATACTTATAAATTATAAGGAATTAAATCCTTAAATATAAAATAATTAATTATTGATATTAAAAGAATTGACACATTCTAATAGTATTGGAACTTTATGTAAAGTTTATAAGTTCACAAAAATAGCATATTCCACTTTAATATTTGTAATAGTAATTAAATTAAAGTAATTAAAATTATCAGAATTTGAAATTGATAAATTGTAAATACTAAAATTGTGACTATTAATATTAAATAGATAATTAGATTAATTCTCTAATTAGATTTTTTAATTCTAATTTAGATAAAAATTAATAAATGAAATACTTAATAGATCATTAGATAGTGTTAAATCTGTTTAAAATATAGATGAATTATAATGAAAATTATCTTCAAAGATTAATGAATTAATGATAACCTTACTTTCTAATTATTTAACTGGGCTTTTAAAAATTAATTAAGATTATATAAAATTATTCCCCTTAATTGATATATTTTTAATGTTTAAATCTTTCTTAAATTCTATTATTTAAGTGAACTCAAATTTACTTAATAATATTGAAATATTCATAAGAGCAAGGGAAACAACATTTGAAATTATTGAAGATTATATAAAAACTGAATTTTTAATCATCAAGTAGTGAAATTAAATATTTGATGGATCATTATAATCAAATTCAAAATTTGCAATTGATGAATTTGTGAAATAACAATTATTTAATATTAAATTTGATATAATAATCTTAGAAGTATTTTTTATTTTGAATAAAATAGTATTTGTAAATATACAATTTTCTATAGTAAATTTGTTAATTGTAAAAATAGATTAAATTCCATAAGGAGTAATTTCAAAAATATTTGAATCTAAAAAATTTAAATTATTGAATTAAAGATTTGTAAAATTAATATTCTAACAATTTTTAGATATTATTTATAATTTTACTGGTAAATTCAAATCATTAAAAAATACTGAATTTGTAATTATTAAATCCTAAAGTTTATTATCATCATTATTTTAATATATTTATAATTACTATTATACTAAAAATAAAGTATCTTGTATCCTTAAAGAATCAAAATTGATGACTGATATTTTCTAATAAAAGAATGATGGAGAATGATCTCCTTAAAAAACTAATTCAACAAATTGCATTGAAAATATCTTTTATTTAAAAATGCTTTTTATTATGTTTTCTTATTTTGGATCAGTCCAATAACAAAAGCCTTAATAGGGTATTATTAATTGGAATTATTAATAAGCCATTTCGTTTAAATACTTGAAATTAAATAATGTTTCTAAATATTCTTGACTTAATGAGATAAATTAACCATGACATATATTTTCTATCTAACAATATAAAATATTTATNTATTAAATAGATAATTAGATTAATTCTCTAATTAGATTTTTTAATTCTAATTTAGATAAAAATTAATAAATGAAATACTTAATAGATCATTAGATAGTGTTAAATCTGTTTAAAATATAGATGAATTATAATGAAAATTATCTTCAAAGATTAATGAATTAATGATAACCTTACTTTCTAATTATTTAACTGGGCTTTTAAAAATTAATTAAGATTATATAAAATTATTCCCCTTAATTGATATATTTTTAATGTTTAAATCTTTCTTAAATTCTATTATTTAAGTGAACTCAAATTTACTTAATAATATTGAAATATTCATAAGAGCAAGGGAAACAACATTTGAAATTATTGAAGATTATATAAAAACTGAATTTTTAATCATCAAGTAGTGAAATTAAATATTTGATGGATCATTATAATCAAATTCAAAATTTGCAATTGATGAATTTGTGAAATAACAATTATTTAATATTAAATTTGATATAATAATCTTAGAAGTATTTTTTATTTTGAATAAAATAGTATTTGTAAATATACAATTTTCTATAGTAAATTTGTTAATTGTAAAAATAGATTAAATTCCATAAGGAGTAATTTCAAAAATATTTGAATCTAAAAAATTTAAATTATTGAATTAAAGATTTGTAAAATTAATATTCTAACAATTTTTAGATATTATTTATAATTTTACTGGTAAATTCAAATCATTAAAAAATACTGAATTTGTAATTATTAAATCCTAAAGTTTATTATCATCATTATTTTAATATATTTATAATTACTATTATACTAAAAATAAAGTATCTTGTATCCTTAAAGAATCAAAATTGATGACTGATATTTTCTAATAAAAGAATGATGGAGAATGATCTCCTTAAAAAACTAATTCAACAAATTGCATTGAAAATATCTTTTATTTAAAAATGCTTTTTATTATGTTTTCTTATTTTGGATCAGTCCAATAACAAAAGCCTTAATAGGGTATTATTAATTGGAATTATTAATAAGCCATTTCGTTTAAATACTTGAAATTAAATAATGTTTCTAAATATTCTTGACTTAATGAGATAAATTAACCATGACATATATTTTCTATCTAACAATATAAAATATTTATACTTCATTTTGAAACATAGATTCACACTATTGATTTGAACAATATTTGGCAATTTGAATATAAGGATCTATAATAATATTTTAATTAGGGATTGGTTTTATACATCTATATGTATATATATCATATTCATTATTATTATTATTAAAATAAGGATTAATTTTCTAAATATTATTAAAATTGAATACATGTATCTCTTCTTTATTTCTACTTTGACAGACTTAACAAAGTTGAGGACAAACAACACATTTTCCTTGATTCTATACTCTAAAGGGTTTCATATAATAATTTAAATTGCATTTAGTACATTAAAATCCTTATTCTATTTTCATTTTTTTACATATAGAACAATTAGGATCACAATATTTTTAGCAAGTAAATAAATTAAGTTCATAACCTTCAATACATTTTAATGGTAAAATTGATGTATGTAAGATTGATTATGAAGGAGGATATATGTATTTATTTGGTAAGAATTATATTAAAAAGCTCTAAAGTAATTGCATCCAAGAATCTAATTTTGTAAAATCTCCTTCACTACAATATTTTGTATATTCTAAATTGCATTTATTACAGTGACCAGTTATTACTGAACTTGAGTATCCATCTTCACATATTATACATTTAATAATAGATAATGGTGTTTAATAACATTATTTACAATATGAAATATATTTTTGACAATTAATAATCTCAGGAGCAATACTAAAATCATCAACTGATGATAATGTACAAATTTCTTATCCTTATAAATTAATGAAAGCTCTCAAACAATTCAATATAGATGATTTTTAATAAATGCATTTTCCTTTATTAAAATCAAAAATGAAACCATCCTAACATAATGAACATCCCACCTTATGAAATTCATCAATCTAAAAAGGTTAAAAATCATTATAAAGTGTGCATTTTTATAAATTATTGCTTTCATATTCAAAACAATACTAACAATTTTCTATTTGACAAATATTACACCCTTTCATTGATGTTACATAATAAGGAGCTTGACATTTATTTTATTCACCTTATCCCATTATTTATTTTATACAAAGTCCATTTCTCAAGTCAAATACCTGTTAACATATTAAACATATTGTTGTTGTTTGTGTGATACCACAAACAATACAACCAATTAAATTACAAGGTTAACATTCATTTGGATAATTAGAATTAGAACAAATAGTAGGATAATATTACATACTCAAATGATAATCTACAAAAACTTCATCAATTGTTTATAAATTATTATTTGAATAATGATTACATGATTTTAAATTTATTCCATCAAAAACAAAAAATGTTTTGCTTATATCTTTAATAAATTCAGCTGGACTATCATTTCTATCTAAATATAGATTAGTTTAACAATATGGATCCTTTATCCAATTTAGGGGATTATTAATACATTCAAGACAAGTTATCACATTTTCATTAATAAATGAAGGACTAGTCTAATTAAAATTAAATTATTATTTATATATTGAAAATGAATTATTATATGTAAGTGGACTGTATAAATACGTTAAGATTTCTCAGAACATGATAAACAATCTGTATTTGTGGGACCATCACATTCTTGGCAACTATGATGACAATTTTCTTATAAAATAATTTTATCAACAAGTATGCAATTAATAAATTATGAATTCCTGAAATTAACTACCAAATAATTTGAACTAGACTATAAGATATTACCATATTATAATTTATATTATATCATATGGAATTAATTGACATGAAATGATTTTCCAAATTTAAGTTTTTAATGACCATCAAAAAATGTAATCTATATTTCAATAATATTTTATCTTAAGATAACCATAATAAAGTGCCAGGAATTGATATTTGGTATATCAAATAATTATTCAATTAAAAATGGATTATTTGAGAAATCAAGATTATAGTAAGGAAAATTATAACTATATGTACTAAATTTTAATTGAGAATTAGTTGTAGAAAATTTATAAAATAATTGCATAGCTGACAAATTATCATCCCTAAGTTTTTGATTTTCAAAATTACCTGATAATTTAATTAACTTATATAAAAATTCAGATGAATCTGATATCACTTTTTATATTTTTATCCAAGTTTAAAATACAAAAGAATCACAATTTATATTTGTTGATGCAAATGTTTTTATATCCATCCAATAAATGTCTATGTCAGGCAGGCTTTTAATTTAATTTTCTTAACAATAGCATTAATCATCAAACATATTTTATAGATTAATAATCAACTCTAGATCAACCTTATTTATAAAACCTTTATATTATTATAATAAAGTGATTGAACCAGGATAATATGAAAGTTGTGATACTCCTTCGATTAATATAATTTCATCACTTTTTATTATTAGACCACCTCCAAAAACAATTAATAAGTTCTCATCTAAATATGGAAATTAAATTTCAAATTTTTGTATATCTATTGTTGTTACACCCTATAGTAAATAATAAGTAAAACTCTTCTAATGGGGATATATGTGAACACAAAAAAAATACCAAAAATATTCATATTTCATTGAATCCAATTTAATCTCATATTTATATTGTTATCCTGTCTTACTTATAAATTAAACAATCTTATTAACTGCCATTGTTTAAATATTAATACAATCATAATAAATGAAATTTATTCTTTNTAAGTTGAAAATGAATTATTATATGTAAGTGGACTGTATAAATACGTTAAGATTTCTCAGAACATGATAAACAATCTGTATTTGTGGGACCATCACATTCTTGGCAACTATGATGACAATTTTCTTATAAAATAATTTTATCAACAAGTATGCAATTAATAAATTATGAATTCCTGAAATTAACTACCAAATAATTTGAACTAGACTATAAGATATTACCATATTATAATTTATATTATATCATATGGAATTAATTGACATGAAATGATTTTCCAAATTTAAGTTTTTAATGACCATCAAAAAATGTAATCTATATTTCAATAATATTTTATCTTAAGATAACCATAATAAAGTGCCAGGAATTGATATTTGGTATATCAAATAATTATTCAATTAAAAATGGATTATTTGAGAAATCAAGATTATAGTAAGGAAAATTATAACTATATGTACTAAATTTTAATTGAGAATTAGTTGTAGAAAATTTATAAAATAATTGCATAGCTGACAAATTATCATCCCTAAGTTTTTGATTTTCAAAATTACCTGATAATTTAATTAACTTATATAAAAATTCAGATGAATCTGATATCACTTTTTATATTTTTATCCAAGTTTAAAATACAAAAGAATCACAATTTATATTTGTTGATGCAAATGTTTTTATATCCATCCAATAAATGTCTATGTCAGGCAGGCTTTTAATTTAATTTTCTTAACAATAGCATTAATCATCAAACATATTTTATAGATTAATAATCAACTCTAGATCAACCTTATTTATAAAACCTTTATATTATTATAATAAAGTGATTGAACCAGGATAATATGAAAGTTGTGATACTCCTTCGATTAATATAATTTCATCACTTTTTATTATTAGACCACCTCCAAAAACAATTAATAAGTTCTCATCTAAATATGGAAATTAAATTTCAAATTTTTGTATATCTATTGTTGTTACACCCTATAGTAAATAATAAGTAAAACTCTTCTAATGGGGATATATGTGAACACAAAAAAAATACCAAAAATATTCATATTTCATTGAATCCAATTTAATCTCATATTTATATTGTTATCCTGTCTTACTTATAAATTAAACAATCTTATTAACTGCCATTGTTTAAATATTAATACAATCATAATAAATGAAATTTATTCTTTTGTTTTCACTTTCTAATGCTGAATTTAAATGGTAACAATGACTATCAAAAATTCCAATAGGACCAGTTTATAATATAGTACTCAAAGGAGTATATCTACTCCACATTCCATAAATCATAATCTCTTCATATTCAAAACTTTTTATTGTACTACTAAATGTGAATGAATAGAATTATTAATCATTTAGAGTCCATATAAACAAACCTTGAATAACTAAACAAAATTGACATAAAATCAGATAAAGATTCATACTTCGCATCCTAATCTAATATATTTTATTTAATATATTTAATAAATCTAATGAAAAATCATAATTAATTATTGTTTATAAGTCGTAATCATACTAAATTCTTAACAAAATTTATTTCAATTAATAATTTAACAACTTAATGGTAATTTATTATTCAAAGATGCTAGTATTATTTACATTAGTGATTTAAACTATTTTTACGATAATATTCTTGACCTCTTTAATTTAAATTCATGTAAATAGAACTATAATTTAATCAATAATTATTATCATTGAAATAATTAGTGGTAATTGAGATATTATATTAAATATATTTTCTTGATTATTATCATTTATTAAATAAATATTTTTACAAGTATAATTCAAACTCAAATTTTATTTTATCTTTTAGGAGCTGATCTTTATTTCTTAATTTAAACAGGCTTATCAATTTCTAAGTTTGAATATTGTAAAAAATTAACATTATTAAAGTTAGAGATATAAATAGTTCTATTTAAACTCGTTGCACACTGAAATATTGGTAAAATAATTTAAATGGAAAAAATAGTGATTAAATTTAAAAAAATGAAAAAATGTGCTTATCTATAAATAATTTCTAAATTAAATTATTTTATATATTATAATTATTAAAACTTATTATTATGTTTGAATTCTAATAAAAATTTCAATAATTATAATAATTTAATGGAGAAGACACTTATTGTGGTTGGCTTAATATTGTTAGCAGGATCAATTTACAATCTTAATTATTAATTAGAAACAAACTTGATTTCACAATTTGATCATTATTAATTTAATTTCAATAAGAAATATTTTGGATCAGAATATTTATACAGATTATAAGTATACTAATCGAATCTGGCTGATATTTAAACTAGAAATTCTAAATATGGAACTAAAATCTTTGGCGAAACTTAATTTACAGATCTAACTGACGAAGAATTTAATTCTATATATTTAACTTTGAAATTAGAGCCATCTAATTAGGGAGTATAAAGATTTGAATTTAATAATGTAAATTCTACTCCAATAGATTGGAGATCAAGAGGGGCAGTCACTCCAGTAAAGAATTAAGGACAATGTGGTTCATGTTGGGCATTTAGTACTACAGGGGTTTTAGAAGGATTTTTCAAGGTCACAACTGACTAATTACCAGACCTATCAGAATAATAATTGGTTGATTGTTCAACTATCTTAGACTATAATAAAGGTTGTGATGGAGGTGCTCCGATTAGAGCCTTGAATTATGTAAAAAGAAATGGAATTACAACTTAAGCTGCTTATCCATATGTTATTATTATATTAAATATCTAGATTGCTGAATAAAATAAGAATTGTTAAATAAAAGGAGGTGTATATCATATTAGTGTTACAGTTTCAATCTTTGCAAATGAAGCTGCTCATTAAGCTGCACTTTAAGAGGGTCCAATTTCGGTTGCTGTTTAAGCATCTGATTGGAAGAACTATAAACCAACAGGTGATGATTATATCTTTCCAAGTTCTGCATGTACTGGAGATATTAATCATGCTGTTTTGGCTGTTGGATTCACTTCTGATGCTCTTATTATTAAGAATTCATGGGCTAAATCTTGGGGAGTTGATGGATATATCTATTTATAAGGTGGAGTAAATACATGTAGTGTTTGGAATAATTCAATTGTTCCAAAATGATATTATTAATATATCAATAATCAATAAAGAAGTAAAAGGAAATTAATATTATTCATAATTATTTTTTGATTATTAGTATTCACTCTTTAAATTATTATATACAAATATAATTATTATTTAATGTCAATATTTGTAAATACATTTTTGAATACTCAATTTATAATTGAAAGGATAACTGAATACATAAAGTCCAAAAACGATTGTTATTTAATTTAATGATAGATATTAAAATGGGAATTATGAATTTTTAGCAATTAATAAACTATTTGGAATTTAATTAAATTAATTCTATAATAAAATTATATATTACAATGAATTACATGTATTAATAAAAGAATGATAATAAATAAATAATGAAATAGTTTTTCTCAAACATATTCTATATTGGCAATTTCTTCAAACTTTTTAACCTAATCTATGTAATTGTGCACTATTTTAAAGTATATATATAGAACAATATCAATTTTCAATTTAGAAATAAGAGGGGATGAAGTTTAAATATATAATTTTTTTTGGTAGAGATTATGTTTCGAATAACAATTTATATCATATTGGCAATAGGGAGCTAACAATCATTTTCAGGCACAACTACCATTTTTAATTTTTTCCTTATTAACATTTTCTTGTAGAAATTAATTTTAAATGTGTTAAAGAAGTACTAATATCAAAGTTAAGATTTCCTAAAATTTTAGTTGAAAATTTGAGCTCTGAAATTGAATTCAACATTTTTGCTTTGTTTACATCAAACTTTTTGGATACAAATATTTTATAGAGTTTAAAACTTTAATAAAACCATTCATCCCACTAAGTTCTAATCGCTCCATATTGATGATAAACTTATTAAAAAATACTTCCAACCCCTTAAATTTATATATATATATATAGTATACATATTTCAATTTGGTAGTTAGTTTAACTATCTCTACATAATGGTCTCTAATGAGTCTTAATCTAAATGTAATACCTTATATATATGAAATCCCTTAACTATATGCTAATAATTAAGAATTTTCCAATCCTGTTTCAAAATTGAAAGATTCAAAATAAGATGGAAAAAGAATTTGCTTATATCGTACCAAGAAGTATATAATATCCAATTTAAGTAGTACGACACGTTATACTTATCAAAGAAACAATCCTTTTGACAAAATTTGGATTTGAATGAGAGATTTAAAAAATTCCATTAACTGGATTAAATTAATGAAACCACTTTTCAACGTAAGTCATCTATAGCATAGTATCTGAATCCAATTCCATTATAAGGCGTTGAATTTGGAACTTATATTTTGACCTTATCTCGTTATATCCATTATATAGCTCTAATAAACTTAAACACTTCCAGAATCCAAATCAAAAACTTAAGTAATAATGAATACTTCTGCAATATTGTTAAAACTTGACGAAAAGTTAATTGTGCTTTATAATGATAGATTTGGAGTTTAAGAAGCAAATAATTTGTTTTTATTTTCCCATACATAGAATGTCTAAAAATATCCACTTTAAAATATTATGAGACAGTTGGGTATTCATTAATAAGTCTATAGAAAAAAACAACATACAGATCATATTTAATTAATAATTTATTAAATACGAACATTTAACATATTTAACTAGACATACCATAAATAAATAAATTTGTTTTATTTTAATATTGATAAGCAAAAAGAAGTTATAATGATTCTATTCCCCTTTATCTTGATAACTTTAATTTCATATTATTTTCGTCTAAATTTAGCTAAAAGTAAAGTTGACTATATTTGCATATTTTTAAATATAATCCTTTTTTAATTTTAGAATATGTTTAACATTATTCCAATAATTGATATAGATGTATGAGTTTATTCCGAATTTAAGTTTCAAATTTTGTATCTTTTTATTTTTAAGAAATATGAAATTTGAAACAAGGCATTCTATTATTTTGATTAATAAAAATAAAGATATTTCAATTTTTATATTCTCTAACCTATAATTCTTTTGTTTCTTCATCCCAAGTAACTAAATACTACCCATCATTCGTCAAAGCTCCTTGAATATATTGAGTTTGATATTTAATAGATTGTCCATTAATAAAATCACCATTTTACTTAAATTTAACTAAATTAATAAAATATCCTGTTTTATTAAGAATCATTGAGTTTTATTTGATAAACTACAAAGGAAATACAGAATCTGATTAATATCCTGATTTTATTCTGACTTCTTTGATTTTTTTAAAAGTATTTGTTTCTTTATCTAATTCATAAATAAATAAGGTTTCAGACCTTGATGGTTAAAAAGAAAACAATATATCATTCATAAAGCATAAACTTTAACCCCAGTTGTCAACCTTAATTGTCTAAATAATTATCCATTCTTAATCTTATTAAACTCTTTCACTAACTAAGATTGTATAGTCCATGTATGCACAAGATATCAATTTTGTGCTCTAATCGTTCAAAGATATACTCTCCACTTTGTTTCTATGTCCAAGTAATCTTTATTACCAATTCCATTGAAGATCTTTATTCCAGAATTAGATTGTTGAATCATCTCCACACGAGATTATTAAATCTTCATGACTATTTGAAATAATACATCTAATGCTATCTGTGTGTCTTTATAAAATCTATAAACATACCCATTATTTTTTTTCATTAATTTACCAAATGATGATAGTTTTATCTGCTCCTCCTGAAACAAACTATTGACAACTATTTAAGATATGCAAACAATTAACAATCCCTTAATGATTCTATAAAATCTAGTTTTATTTCATATAACCATTTCTAAATTGAAAGACTTTGATTTTTCCATGAGAATAACCAGTCATTATTAAAGAAGAATCATAACTGAATGTAATTGAATATATTTTATCTTCCTTTAATGAGCTCTTCTTTAAAAGTTCATATTAAAAGGGTTCAATTAGAGATCTGAAATTATTGTTTTATTCTAATTCTTTTGTCTTGGTTTGAATTTCTTTTTTAAATGATATTTTTAAATATTTTCCATTCTTTTCTTCAATAGGTAAGGAACATTAGAGTAATTTTAAATCAGAAAATTTCTATTATAGATTGATATATAATTCATTTTGTATATCTTAAATTTATTACAATTTTGCATTCAATTCTAATTTTAGTTATTCATTTAACTCATTTTATTTATTTTATTGACTAAGAATATTTGCAATTTAGATGATTTCAATTTTTGAATATTATTGCCATTCCTTTTTAATAAGTTACAACAACTACTCTATTATTTTGCTTCGATTAAGAGTAAGGCTTTTCAAAGTAATTATCGATTCATCAGTTAAATTATTAAATGAATCTTTTAACTAAATTATCTTATAAAGAGCTGATTAGATACTATTATTAAAATTTCTATCTTGCAAATTTGAATAATTTGAAATATTTTAAATCCACTTATTCCACATCATCTTAAATTAATCAAAATTAGTAAACTATACTAAATATTCAGGAACACAATAGGCACAAGCTATTCTATCAGGAACAACGCTTTTTTGTTTTAGATCTACAAACATTAATTATAATTTGTGCTTATCACAAACCCAAAGATTATTTAATTACATTTAATCTATCCCAAATGGTATAAATTCTTTAAAATTACTCTTATTATCACATCTAATGCTTTCTAACATTTATTCATGGTATATCAAAAATTCTTATATATCTAAAGTTTTTAATTGCTATTTTAGATGAATTTCAATTTCACTAAAATTAAATGATATTTGATTTAATTTTGTATATGTGCTTTCAATATAATCCAAATTCTAATTGGATCCATCTTAACATAAATCATCTTTCTCAAGTTTTATATTAGAAAGACGAGTTAATTAATTGTTTATAAAAGATATTATTTCTTCAATTTTGTAAATCATTTATTATTTCATTTATATTAGATTTTGTTTGAAATGACTTAAAATTTCAATATTGCTTTATTTTCGTGTCTCATATTCTATTAAATATTACAATTTGCAATTTAATATCTACTCTTCAGCTTCCTTTATTAACATCCAATTCCTGTCTTAGTATTCATTTTGTTTCTCATATATTTTTTTATCCAATAAGTTAAATTTCTACTATTGCAAAGAATTTTCAGATTTTTAACTAACTTTCATATTTATTTTTTACTTCAATTTCATCATCATCAAAACTTTTTTTATTGTAATTAATTTAATCAAAACTTAAATTTTTTTTATTTTTATAAACTGAAATGCATTCAAATTTTTTGTTATCACTAAATTAATTTATTTATAAACTTATTTTATTTCAATTAATTATGTAATTTATTAATTGCAATTTGGCTTTTTTAAAATGGGAATATTTGTTCTCTTTGTTTTTAAGAACATTCAAAATTAAAGATTAATTCATTAAAGTGCTAATAAATATGCCTATAAAATATCGAAAAAATGTAATGAAAAAATAGAGAATAAACAAAAGGATTTAACTAAGTATTGAAATTTAAATTGGTTCAAAAATATGTTATTATATAAGATTAGTATTTGATTTAAGATATTTTCTCTTGATCCTAAAACAGCAACATAATTTTCAGATATATCATGTATCAATATTTAAGTTTTAACAGTTGTATAAAAGACTCGATTGATATTTCCTTAATTATTTAAATTGAGACTTCATTATTTTTACTAGTATGATACTTAGAATTATGAAATCTCTAAGATTTTATTTAAAAATTTTTCTAATTATCATTTTAATGATTAATTTATGTTTAAGTTAACTATTTTAATCTTATTCAATTCAACTAAATAAAAGTAATATTTTAAAATTATAACTCTTTGTACTTATTTATAAAAGGCATCCTTTTAAACTTCGTTTTGATAATACATATAACTTTATATATATATTGATTTAAATGTGTTTCAATTATAATTATAAAAAAATTAAGATCAATTCAACATATGAAAATGATTTATATAGTCAAACATTAAATTTTGAAGGAAAGATTTGTAATTGATAAAATGATTAAGTTCATGATATGTAGGTAGTATTTTGGATGTTAAAAAAGGAATTAGTCAAAAATGTATTTTTATCTGTTTATGGACTGTATAAATATATATTAAATGAAGATTTTAAAATTATAAAATTATGATATTAATCTTCTTTTAATTCTACTTTGTCTAATGAAAAAGTGATAATCATGATTTTGATATTTTTAGAGGGTTTTGCAATATTTTCATAATTGTAAATATTTTTGGGTAGATATTTTTGAGTTTCTTCGATATTTAATTAAATTAATTTATTCATTAGAATATTTAATGAATTAAGTGAAAGGATATATAAATATCACAAAAAGCATTGCATCATAAATATAGACAATAAAAAAAGTAAATACAGTTGCTAAGCTTCAAAATAATGATTATCTAGTTTCAATGATAATATCTAAGAAAAATATCGCAGAAAATTCTTCTCTTGATTACTAAAATTTGTATTAATTAAAGGAGGATGGATTTCATTTACTTTAAAGAGGTAGTGTAGTCTAATAAAACTTATTGACATCTTATAGCAATGATAAGGAGAGATTTATTAAATAATAGTAAATAACAGATGAATCTGAGAAGCCAAGATAAGTTATTGAGATACATGAATCAGGTAAACTATTATTCAGTATTAACACTTAAAAATATCATGAGGAGATTTTGAATAATGAGATGGTTGGAGAGCCATTTAAATGGAACAAAAAAAATAATAAAGTTTTGTATTTAGCAAAAGGAAAGAGCAAAGAAACAAAGACATTCTTTTAGGTAGAAAAGGAGGAGGAAATATAACAAGCGTGGAATTACAGGAAATATGAATAAAGTTGGGGTGAAAGGATGGATAATGTGGAGATATTTTATCTATTTATGATCGATATTGAATAANGATATTGATTTAAATGTGTTTCAATTATAATTATAAAAAAATTAAGATCAATTCAACATATGAAAATGATTTATATAGTCAAACATTAAATTTTGAAGGAAAGATTTGTAATTGATAAAATGATTAAGTTCATGATATGTAGGTAGTATTTTGGATGTTAAAAAAGGAATTAGTCAAAAATGTATTTTTATCTGTTTATGGACTGTATAAATATATATTAAATGAAGATTTTAAAATTATAAAATTATGATATTAATCTTCTTTTAATTCTACTTTGTCTAATGAAAAAGTGATAATCATGATTTTGATATTTTTAGAGGGTTTTGCAATATTTTCATAATTGTAAATATTTTTGGGTAGATATTTTTGAGTTTCTTCGATATTTAATTAAATTAATTTATTCATTAGAATATTTAATGAATTAAGTGAAAGGATATATAAATATCACAAAAAGCATTGCATCATAAATATAGACAATAAAAAAAGTAAATACAGTTGCTAAGCTTCAAAATAATGATTATCTAGTTTCAATGATAATATCTAAGAAAAATATCGCAGAAAATTCTTCTCTTGATTACTAAAATTTGTATTAATTAAAGGAGGATGGATTTCATTTACTTTAAAGAGGTAGTGTAGTCTAATAAAACTTATTGACATCTTATAGCAATGATAAGGAGAGATTTATTAAATAATAGTAAATAACAGATGAATCTGAGAAGCCAAGATAAGTTATTGAGATACATGAATCAGGTAAACTATTATTCAGTATTAACACTTAAAAATATCATGAGGAGATTTTGAATAATGAGATGGTTGGAGAGCCATTTAAATGGAACAAAAAAAATAATAAAGTTTTGTATTTAGCAAAAGGAAAGAGCAAAGAAACAAAGACATTCTTTTAGGTAGAAAAGGAGGAGGAAATATAACAAGCGTGGAATTACAGGAAATATGAATAAAGTTGGGGTGAAAGGATGGATAATGTGGAGATATTTTATCTATTTATGATCGATATTGAATAACAAAAACTGTTTAAGGTATAGACTCCAGGCAATTTATTTTTAACTTATCCATAGTTTACAGAAAATGATGAAATAATATTGGGTGGTTATTAAATACATAAAGAATTTAAATATGGAATAGTTCATTGTTTTAACAGAGAAAGTGGAATATATCTTATAGAACATCCAAAATTATTAGAATTACCTGAAAAAGGAGAGAATTTGGATGAATAATAATTACAATTATTATCAAAGCATGATATATCTGTTAAACCACTTATTAGTCCAGATTATAAAAAGCTTTTATATTTAGGATCAGATTATAAACACTAACATTTATGTTATTTAAGTTTGAACATGATAAATTTGGATAATAAGTCAGTCGAAGAATTAATTGGAGTAAAAAATGAAAATGATTTAAAAGAAGTGAGAGAGAAAAAGGAGAAAAGGGATAACATTATTGGGGGAATTTGTGGTTTTTATGACGATTTATCATTAAACTTTTGGAATAAGGATTCAACTCATTTTGTCTATTCTTCTATAGTTTTAGGACAATAAAAAATATTTTGTATAGATGTAAATACAAAATAAATAGAGATTTTAAGTCATAAAGTAGAATAAGAAGTAACACACAATTGCGAAATTATTAGTTATGATCAAGAAAATGATATCTTATATTATACTGATGAAAATATTAATTAATCCCCAATTTTAATTGCTATAATTAATGCCATGGATAAACAACGAAAATATATACGAAATTTAGAACATTTTAATTTAAAAGTTTCAAATAAATTTATTGAAGAATTTGTTTTTAGTGAAGAGGCAGAAGGATTCGTTTGGTATATTAAAGAAGAGGAAGAAAAATTTGAATTACCAAAATTTTTTAAGGAAAGACCATTAATCGTTTTAGCACATGGGGGACCTCATGGAACAATATAAAGTTAATATACTTAATTAAGACATATTTTGTTATAATAAGGGTTTATTTTATTAGCTCCAAATTTTAGTGGGTCCTGCGGTTATGGATAGAATTTTATTGAAGCTTTGAGTGGAAAGATTGGAGAATAGGATGCAAAAGAAATATTGGATATGATTAGTTAAGTTTAATAGAAATATAATACAGGCAAGACATTTATTATGGGAGGTTCTTATGGTGGCTATCTAAGTGCTTTGATGGGGTCTAGATATCATGATAGATTTAATGCTGCTGTGATATTGAATCCAGTTGTTAATTTACCATTCATGATTAATATAACAGATATTCCAGAATGGGGTTCATCTTGTGCATTGAACAGAAAACATACATGGAATCTTAGTGTTGAAGATTATAAAACCTTAATTGAAAGATCTCCAATGTTATAACCCCTAAGAGTTCCTTCATTATTATTAATAGGTTCCAAAGATAGAAGATGTCCTTTTTAATAATCATTAGCATTGAGAGCTCAAGCATTAGAAGTTGGCACAGAAGTGTAAACCTATGTTTACCCAAATGCTGATCATGCATTAGCAGATAGTGTCAATACTGGATATGATACATTCTTAAAGATCCTAATGTTTTTAAATGAGAAATTATGATATAGATTACATTCAATAAAATGAATAAACTAAATCATTCTTAATTTGTTTTTAAAGCTAATCCAACCATTTAATCCCAATTAAATTATGTGACTATTGCCACTTAAGATGTATCTTCCTTTTTCATCTTTTTTATCCAATCCACTATCATTCCCCCTCTGGCGAAACCATCCTCAACTATGTGTATGCCTCTTACTAATGCCTGAGTAATGGTTTCTGGCATCATAGCCATTACTATAGCCAATTCTATGATATGCAAATAATCATTACCATCACATAAATAATAACAAGTTTCAAATACTACATTTTCATAGATATCATGAATTAATTTAGCTATTTTATTGTATTGAACATTAAATATTTTACTTCCTACATCTTTATTCAAAGAATATGATAATACAGTGTCAAATGGTAATATTATTTTATTCTTAAAATCTGCCTACAAAACCATTTTTGTTGCCAATACATCAGTAGCAATATTAAATTCAGCTATTCCATTTAATTGATTCCCAACTCCCATATATGTTCCGCACATACAAAATAAACATCCTAATTGATTTATAATTTAAGGATGTTAAAGTAATGTTATATATATATTTGTAAGAGGACCTATACAAATTATACATAACTCGTCTTAATATTTTTCAATACTTTCTTTTAAAAAATCAACAGCATGTTTATTTTCATACAATTATTAATTTTCATTAACATTCAGTTCTTTTAAATATTGATTTTGTACTCCTCCAAATCCATCCTCTTTAAAGAAGAAGTCTCTATGAAATTTTCTCATGCTATCAAATTCACATCCTTTGTAAATTTTTGGGAATTCATCAAAGTGACAATAACGGGATGTTATGTATACATTTTTTATTACATTGTACAAACTGGCATTCCCAGAAACACAAGTAATCCCTAATAATTCAGCATCTTTTCTTATATATTTAAGTATGTAGGAGGCCATCATAATTGCATGAGCATCATCTCCTCCAGCATCAGTATCAATAATAAATTTTGTGTACTTTTTATATTAGTTAATGTCATTTCCTAGTAGCATATCAGGAATTTTGAAATTATTTGTCATGAAGAAATGTTTATAAATTAATAAATATAAATATTAATATTAATTAAAATCATAATTGTCTAAAATTAAAACTTGATGTTTTATGTTTACTAGGAGATATGATAGGCAGTAAATTTGGGGACGAAATTTTCTTTGAACTATTAGTCTTTGGTATTAAAAAGTTATCACTCAATCTATTCCCAACTTGACCATAATCTTATATAAATATATTTGAATTAATACTAAATGCTTTTTTGGATGTTTAAAATTTATTTTTTAGTTGTGTTAGATCTTAATGTGATGAAGTTTTAATTAAATTAATTGAAGGTTTCCTTTCAATCTTAGTGGTATTTCGATGTAGACGATATTATCTGCCATTCCAATTTGGAATTAATTATTCAGTATGAACTCTACTTGATAATGGTTCTTGTAATTCACCCTCATCTATTAACTCATTAATTTCATCAGATGCTTAAGTTTTCATATAATAGATTTCTTCAGAACATTACTCTTTAAAAATTTTAAGAATCCATAAAGCTTTAACAATCTAATTTCTTTGATAATTAATTTTACTGTATTAAAATTTTTAGTGAATTAATATCTTAATTTAATTTCTCTATTAGTGATTGGATGAGATTTTATTTAGACACCTAAGATCCATGGATGCTCCAGACACTATTAAGCTGTCATCCGATTAATTGATTAGAATGTAACTGTGTTCTCCACAAAATCTTTAGCCATCCTATACATATTATTTGATCTCCTTACTCTGACATTTAAGGTGGAAATTAAATTGAAAACTCAGATGAGATAGCCTTATAATAATCTTTCTTAGTTTGTCCTTTCTGCCATAATGGATGTTGATAATTATTTATCATTTGATAAAATATAATTCCCAAAGAAAAGATATCAACCAACTATTATATATTTGATTTAATACTTGGGACTATTCTTATTAATTAATGACTTCTGGAGCAATGTAATAAGGAGTACCAACTTATTAACCAATGAAACCTCTTGAAAACATCTAGTAGCCCAATCCCAGATCTATCAATTTTACATAATTGTTATCACAAATAAATATATTTTCTGAATTATAGTTTAATGCTTACCTGGCTTGAGATCTCTATGAATAATTCCTTTTCTGTGAAGAAAAACAAGGGCATTTAATATTTACAACATAATGTTTCTGGTTAAGGTTTCTGAAAGCACTGAACTTTTCATCAATACATCCAATGTAGTTCCTACCAGTTTTTCCATAATCAAATAGACTCGATTATTAGCAATTAAAACCTTTTATAATATATGGAAAGTCTACTTTATATAATTTAACTATATTTGGATGGGAACACTCTTGTAATAAGGATGACTCGTTTTCCTATTCAAAGTATTAAGTTATCTAGATGAATTCATAGTATACTTTAATGGCTACTACTTTATCCAATGATGAACTATAAGCAGCAACAACGATGCCAAAACTTCCCTTGCCTAAAGTATCAATGTAGGAGAAATAATCTCCTAAAAGCACTTCATTTAAATTGTCAATCAGGTCTTATGGGTCCATAATTTAGATATTTTAATATCAAAAATATTAAGTTTTTTACTCATTTATATGTATTCAATTAACAAATGTAGACCACTCCTTCTCCACCTCCAAAGGCAAATTTGTTTGATTTATTCCCATAATCAACACAATATATTCCTATTTATATTGATTTAGATCAACCTTCTTATAAATCCCTTATCCATCCATATACTTCATAATTATCATTTATGTCAAACAATTTTACTTCTTGCTTTCCACAACTGCCTGCCAATATAGTATCACCGTTTATCTTACTAAACTAACAAGAGTATATATAAGAGTTATCAGAATCTTTGTCGTCCCATTTGATATTTTTAATCAATGATCTTTTACCAAAATCCCAGAGTTGTAATTAATTATTTGTTCTATAAGAACCAGTAAGAATTTAACCATTCCTTAAATAAATTAATTCATAGGCATATACCTAAAATCTATGCTGTCTCCAGATACATGAGGTCCTAATATAGATCCAACACTTCTTTTGTCTCTAAGGTCCCAAATCACTAGATTACCATCCCAACCACAAGAAAGAAGAGTGGTTGGAAATTCCTCCAAGAATTTTAAAGCGAATACTCTATTCAAATGTCCAATTTAATTACTAAGTATTAAGGATATTTATTACTAATCAGCTGAATCAAATGTATGAATAATTTCTTTTTTTTCATCATCATAAATTCGAATCTAGATAATTTTAGATTTAAGTACTTTACAATCTTTTCCTGAAGTAGCAAATACTTCTCCATCATATCTTAAATCCATACATAATATTTAATTATTCTTTTCTATAAGTCTATGCAATTATTTTCCTGTCTAAGCCTACCAAAACATAATTGATCCATCAGAATTCACATTTATTACTACACTTTTAACTTTATTTGCACAATCATTTCTCCATCTAATACTTGTTGTTGGAGTTGATCCTTCTGATGATCCTTGTAGATTAAATGCTAATTTCCCTAAGAAATATTTATACTAACCTTACCTGTGGCTATATTAAAAATTTTCACTGTCCCATCCGAACAACCTTAATTTAACAATTTTTAATACCTGCTGCTATAAGTTGATCCTCAAAATCAAATCGAATACAAAATATTTCAAATTCTGGATTGCCAAAAAAGGTTTTTAATGAAATCTTTCTAATTTTATTTTGTANTATATTTGGATGGGAACACTCTTGTAATAAGGATGACTCGTTTTCCTATTCAAAGTATTAAGTTATCTAGATGAATTCATAGTATACTTTAATGGCTACTACTTTATCCAATGATGAACTATAAGCAGCAACAACGATGCCAAAACTTCCCTTGCCTAAAGTATCAATGTAGGAGAAATAATCTCCTAAAAGCACTTCATTTAAATTGTCAATCAGGTCTTATGGGTCCATAATTTAGATATTTTAATATCAAAAATATTAAGTTTTTTACTCATTTATATGTATTCAATTAACAAATGTAGACCACTCCTTCTCCACCTCCAAAGGCAAATTTGTTTGATTTATTCCCATAATCAACACAATATATTCCTATTTATATTGATTTAGATCAACCTTCTTATAAATCCCTTATCCATCCATATACTTCATAATTATCATTTATGTCAAACAATTTTACTTCTTGCTTTCCACAACTGCCTGCCAATATAGTATCACCGTTTATCTTACTAAACTAACAAGAGTATATATAAGAGTTATCAGAATCTTTGTCGTCCCATTTGATATTTTTAATCAATGATCTTTTACCAAAATCCCAGAGTTGTAATTAATTATTTGTTCTATAAGAACCAGTAAGAATTTAACCATTCCTTAAATAAATTAATTCATAGGCATATACCTAAAATCTATGCTGTCTCCAGATACATGAGGTCCTAATATAGATCCAACACTTCTTTTGTCTCTAAGGTCCCAAATCACTAGATTACCATCCCAACCACAAGAAAGAAGAGTGGTTGGAAATTCCTCCAAGAATTTTAAAGCGAATACTCTATTCAAATGTCCAATTTAATTACTAAGTATTAAGGATATTTATTACTAATCAGCTGAATCAAATGTATGAATAATTTCTTTTTTTTCATCATCATAAATTCGAATCTAGATAATTTTAGATTTAAGTACTTTACAATCTTTTCCTGAAGTAGCAAATACTTCTCCATCATATCTTAAATCCATACATAATATTTAATTATTCTTTTCTATAAGTCTATGCAATTATTTTCCTGTCTAAGCCTACCAAAACATAATTGATCCATCAGAATTCACATTTATTACTACACTTTTAACTTTATTTGCACAATCATTTCTCCATCTAATACTTGTTGTTGGAGTTGATCCTTCTGATGATCCTTGTAGATTAAATGCTAATTTCCCTAAGAAATATTTATACTAACCTTACCTGTGGCTATATTAAAAATTTTCACTGTCCCATCCGAACAACCTTAATTTAACAATTTTTAATACCTGCTGCTATAAGTTGATCCTCAAAATCAAATCGAATACAAAATATTTCAAATTCTGGATTGCCAAAAAAGGTTTTTAATGAAATCTTTCTAATTTTATTTTGTACATCGCCAAACCTTAAAATAAATCAATTTTATTACTTTAATTATCCATAACAATATTAATCATTCTTCTTGCCACCTTTCTTTTTGTTTTGATCCAAAAATGAATGAATTTCTTACTATTTGTATTTATTATCCATTTATGATGAAAATGTAATTAAATCGGAATCTAAAATTGCTATACATTTATATATATAGAAATATATATATCTAAAATATTTTTAGTTTATTAAGATACATTCTAAAATTCAAATATAATCAAGTATCTAATCCTTATAATCATAATATTTTATCAATTATATATAAAATAAAAATTTATTATAAGAGTTCACACTAATAATTTATTATCCAATTAACTAATTATAATCGAGAATGCTTATAATGGAGAGAATGGATAAGCAATATCGATGTTTAAGAATTAGTTATCACAACTTCCAAACTAAATTGCAACATCTTTGCTTAAATTGCCATCTTCTACCAATTATTTAAGCAAGAAGTTATGGACAGAAGAACTGTTTACTCTTGAATTAAATGGGAGTGTAAATGATTAATATTTTGAACTCCAAACAGGTTCTTGTGTTTGAAATTCAAAATATTCATCATTTCTTTTATTTTAAAATTTCCCTTTTATTTTTAAACCTGTATTCTCATCTCGAGGAATAATTTTTTAAGGTTTACCCTCTATCAAAGAAGGAATGTAAGCTTTAAAGAGATTTCCTTATAATATAGATATTTTAACTTACTTCGAGTTTTTAATATTTGATATTCATATTGAATGAATACTAATTCTCTTCTCAAAGTCTTAAGATCATTTGATTTCTTATAGGAAAGACCATTTGAGTATAAAATGAATTCTGTACCAATAAAATTAGATCTAAAATATAAATTTAAAAAATTACTCTAAAGTTCCGACAAGATCTATCTCCATTTCTGATTTACTCAATTAAAATTTGTTGCTTCCTGGACATTATTATTTTTTTACTGAAAGTAGAAGTTTATTTGTATTTGAATGATAGAAATTATAGTGTTAGTGGCGACCAAACCATCCTTTTATAATTTTCACATCACATTCTAGAGTTTTCCCTTTGGGAATGGGAGTATTTAAAAATTTATCAGTATTGGTAGGTGTAAATTCGTAGAATAGAATTGGGGAAGGTTAAGAATTAGGATTCATTAAAGTTGGCAATCTTTGATCTGATGAATTATCAAATTCGTGTCCATGAGTTATTATATGTTATTTGTCTGTATCATCATCTTTATTCTTTATCATAATATCTGACATTTTAGATAGATTTAGAAATTTTAACAAATTAATTTAATATATTTTTCAATGATTTGATACCAAGTATTTAANCAAATGTATGAATAATTTCTTTTTTTTCATCATCATAAATTCGAATCTAGATAATTTTAGATTTAAGTACTTTACAATCTTTTCCTGAAGTAGCAAATACTTCTCCATCATATCTTAAATCCATACATAATATTTAATTATTCTTTTCTATAAGTCTATGCAATTATTTTCCTGTCTAAGCCTACCAAAACATAATTGATCCATCAGAATTCACATTTATTACTACACTTTTAACTTTATTTGCACAATCATTTCTCCATCTAATACTTGTTGTTGGAGTTGATCCTTCTGATGATCCTTGTAGATTAAATGCTAATTTCCCTAAGAAATATTTATACTAACCTTACCTGTGGCTATATTAAAAATTTTCACTGTCCCATCCGAACAACCTTAATTTAACAATTTTTAATACCTGCTGCTATAAGTTGATCCTCAAAATCAAATCGAATACAAAATATTTCAAATTCTGGATTGCCAAAAAAGGTTTTTAATGAAATCTTTCTAATTTTATTTTGTACATCGCCAAACCTTAAAATAAATCAATTTTATTACTTTAATTATCCATAACAATATTAATCATTCTTCTTGCCACCTTTCTTTTTGTTTTGATCCAAAAATGAATGAATTTCTTACTATTTGTATTTATTATCCATTTATGATGAAAATGTAATTAAATCGGAATCTAAAATTGCTATACATTTATATATATAGAAATATATATATCTAAAATATTTTTAGTTTATTAAGATACATTCTAAAATTCAAATATAATCAAGTATCTAATCCTTATAATCATAATATTTTATCAATTATATATAAAATAAAAATTTATTATAAGAGTTCACACTAATAATTTATTATCCAATTAACTAATTATAATCGAGAATGCTTATAATGGAGAGAATGGATAAGCAATATCGATGTTTAAGAATTAGTTATCACAACTTCCAAACTAAATTGCAACATCTTTGCTTAAATTGCCATCTTCTACCAATTATTTAAGCAAGAAGTTATGGACAGAAGAACTGTTTACTCTTGAATTAAATGGGAGTGTAAATGATTAATATTTTGAACTCCAAACAGGTTCTTGTGTTTGAAATTCAAAATATTCATCATTTCTTTTATTTTAAAATTTCCCTTTTATTTTTAAACCTGTATTCTCATCTCGAGGAATAATTTTTTAAGGTTTACCCTCTATCAAAGAAGGAATGTAAGCTTTAAAGAGATTTCCTTATAATATAGATATTTTAACTTACTTCGAGTTTTTAATATTTGATATTCATATTGAATGAATACTAATTCTCTTCTCAAAGTCTTAAGATCATTTGATTTCTTATAGGAAAGACCATTTGAGTATAAAATGAATTCTGTACCAATAAAATTAGATCTAAAATATAAATTTAAAAAATTACTCTAAAGTTCCGACAAGATCTATCTCCATTTCTGATTTACTCAATTAAAATTTGTTGCTTCCTGGACATTATTATTTTTTTACTGAAAGTAGAAGTTTATTTGTATTTGAATGATAGAAATTATAGTGTTAGTGGCGACCAAACCATCCTTTTATAATTTTCACATCACATTCTAGAGTTTTCCCTTTGGGAATGGGAGTATTTAAAAATTTATCAGTATTGGTAGGTGTAAATTCGTAGAATAGAATTGGGGAAGGTTAAGAATTAGGATTCATTAAAGTTGGCAATCTTTGATCTGATGAATTATCAAATTCGTGTCCATGAGTTATTATATGTTATTTGTCTGTATCATCATCTTTATTCTTTATCATAATATCTGACATTTTAGATAGATTTAGAAATTTTAACAAATTAATTTAATATATTTTTCAATGATTTGATACCAAGTATTTAATTACATGAATGACAAAACTCTAATAACAATAATAATTAAATGAATTGGATTAACATTGTTTTTATATTAAGATATAGATCCCATATTTGAAATAAGTATTAGATTATCAATGTATAATAATATAATTTAGATGTAAAATTACTATTAATTACCTTTATCTCCAAGATAGTTTATAAGTCACAACAATTGTACTTTAAATCAATCTCCAAGGCATTATGCTTAAGTTCCAATCTCTATAGTCCCATAATAAGCTTAAGTTGTTGATTTAAAATAGTATGAATAAAAATGGATGAAAAAAATATAACAATTAGAGGAGGAATTATGTTATTGTTAACAAAAGGCTTCATATTTAGAAAAAGAATATGTACGCTAATACACTATGATAGGAAGATTTAGCTTCTGAAGCTTAAGGTTACAAGGAGGAAATTAAAAAGTTAAAATCAAACTTATATCAGTGTGATAAATTAGATATTATGAATCAAATGAGCAGAACTTAAGAAAATAACACTATCAGTACAGCATTAGATTCTGAGAGAAGACTTGATGATAAAGAAGATAATTTGAAAGATTAAATAATTGAATTACAAAAAGTCATCATAAAATTATAAAGAGAGTCATCATAAAATAAAATAGAGGCAATCAAATGGAAGAACAAATATATTGAAGTTAATAAATTATACAATGAATTATCAGTAGAAAAATAAAAACCATGATATCTAAGTAATTTTGTGTTATTTTATAAACAATTATTTCCTAATTATCATTCAAATATTGCTTTCGATTAACTTTTAATATTCAACAAATCAGGATTCATCTACAATAGACTGTGTTTCTATGTTAACTATTTCACTTTATATTAAAATGTATATTTAGATTAAACAAATTCCTACAATTTCCATTTTAAATAAAAATTCAATCTCTAAATTATGTTTGGATAATTTCCTAAAGGAAAATATATTTTATAAACAAACATTGTCTCAAAATCTTCAGGTTTTAAATCCTCTCTTTTGTACATACTTAAATCCACCATTCCTGCTGTTGTAGGAAAGTTTACAAAAGATCTTGTAAATGGATTATTTGTTTTATTATATGTTCTAGTTCCAGGTATTAAATTTATTGATGATATTTTAGATGAAATTCTTTTCATTGAGGGCCTCAAATAAGTGTTTCTTGAAGGCAATGAATTTTGACTCTATCTATAAAAGTATTTCATGTTTTATGAACTTTGTTATTCCTCTGAATTATAACGATTTGATAAATTCAAAGTATCAGAATCTTCCTCTCTTATTCTTGACAAATTCCTTTTAACCTTATTATCAAGACTAATGTAACTTGATATTTTATTTTAGGATCCAAATTTTAATTTATCACTATATTCACCTTTAAAAGCAATTTGGGAATTATGTTTTGATCCCTTTACTGACGGAATCTATCCTTCAGTTGCTATATTTTAAGATGATACTTATTCTAATTGTGAAGATGATTATTTTCTAATCTTCGGATCTATTGGCATTAATGAAAATCTATATGATGCTTGTGTTGCTTATTATTACAATTATTATTATAATAATTATTATTACTATAACTATTATTATTATGATTACGATTGTTAATATTATTATTATTATTATTATTATTATTATTATTATTATTATTATTATTATTATTATTATTACTATTATTATTATTACTATTATTATTATTAATATTAGTATTGTTATTACTAATCAAATTAGAATTAAGCAGTATTTACTGTTGTTTTTTAATTATTTGGTCTAATTATAAACATTTCCTCAACATTATCATCGACCTCCAATAATATTTTAGAATTATCTCTCAATTAATCTTATTACTTAATAATACTCACAATTGTACTAATTCTAGGATAAATAATTACCCATCTTATTTGTCAATAAACCTATTGTCAGAGAGTATTTGATCTGATTGATATTGTTCATAAGATTCACCTGAATCAGAATCAGATTCTATATCTTCAGTTTCAATTATTTCATTACTTCTTGGATCATATTCATCTTAATCAATAAGATCATATTTCAATCTAAACATTTTCAAAGCATCAAAATTAATCTAAATTTATTCATATTTTTACAAAAATCCTTTTAAAAATTCTATTTTAATCTCTCTAATCAAAATTTTTATCTCTAATAAATGTAGCTCTATTTTATTAATGAAAATTATCTTTTTTAAAGATTTTTTCTATATCTGGTTTATAATTCAAAAAGGGACAAGAATTAATTAAATGATTTTATGAATTGCAAGAATAACATTTCAAATTGATAACTTTAAAATATCCATATATAAGAGAATGTTTGATGTAGATAAATCTTTCATGATCCACTTTATTTGAAGATATAATTTGTAAGAAATTAGATTAATTAATTTTATATAGCTAAGTAAATTCTGATGTCTTAAAAATTGTTTTATTTGAAAAATCAGTAAAAAATGCAATTTCTCCAAAGTAGTCTCCTTATTTTAAAGTTAACAAAGTCTAATCATATTCTTATACTTCAATTTCTCCTGAGTCAATCAAATATAATGATTAATCTTGTTATGAAATAATTTCATTAGGTTTATAGTGAATATGTTCCATATATTTGGTTAATTCTTATAGTGAATCTTTGGAGAATTTTTGTAATAATTTACAAGAAGACAAGGCTTTCGATCTCATTTATAATATTAATTCTTCTTTTAGATCTGGTCTTAATGATTAAAGAATATTTTAAATCTTATCTAAGTTTACCATGTTATAAAATACCTCATAATCATTCTTTTTATTGTAAAACATGTATTTTATGTAATTTCTTACTTTAGCTTTCATTAACAAAGGAACTTTTCTTCTATTTAAAAATGCATTTATAATTTCCATTTCCTTACTAAATATTAATAAAATAAANCTGTTGTTTTTTAATTATTTGGTCTAATTATAAACATTTCCTCAACATTATCATCGACCTCCAATAATATTTTAGAATTATCTCTCAATTAATCTTATTACTTAATAATACTCACAATTGTACTAATTCTAGGATAAATAATTACCCATCTTATTTGTCAATAAACCTATTGTCAGAGAGTATTTGATCTGATTGATATTGTTCATAAGATTCACCTGAATCAGAATCAGATTCTATATCTTCAGTTTCAATTATTTCATTACTTCTTGGATCATATTCATCTTAATCAATAAGATCATATTTCAATCTAAACATTTTCAAAGCATCAAAATTAATCTAAATTTATTCATATTTTTACAAAAATCCTTTTAAAAATTCTATTTTAATCTCTCTAATCAAAATTTTTATCTCTAATAAATGTAGCTCTATTTTATTAATGAAAATTATCTTTTTTAAAGATTTTTTCTATATCTGGTTTATAATTCAAAAAGGGACAAGAATTAATTAAATGATTTTATGAATTGCAAGAATAACATTTCAAATTGATAACTTTAAAATATCCATATATAAGAGAATGTTTGATGTAGATAAATCTTTCATGATCCACTTTATTTGAAGATATAATTTGTAAGAAATTAGATTAATTAATTTTATATAGCTAAGTAAATTCTGATGTCTTAAAAATTGTTTTATTTGAAAAATCAGTAAAAAATGCAATTTCTCCAAAGTAGTCTCCTTATTTTAAAGTTAACAAAGTCTAATCATATTCTTATACTTCAATTTCTCCTGAGTCAATCAAATATAATGATTAATCTTGTTATGAAATAATTTCATTAGGTTTATAGTGAATATGTTCCATATATTTGGTTAATTCTTATAGTGAATCTTTGGAGAATTTTTGTAATAATTTACAAGAAGACAAGGCTTTCGATCTCATTTATAATATTAATTCTTCTTTTAGATCTGGTCTTAATGATTAAAGAATATTTTAAATCTTATCTAAGTTTACCATGTTATAAAATACCTCATAATCATTCTTTTTATTGTAAAACATGTATTTTATGTAATTTCTTACTTTAGCTTTCATTAACAAAGGAACTTTTCTTCTATTTAAAAATGCATTTATAATTTCCATTTCCTTACTAAATATTAATAAAATAAATACAATAAATTAAGTTATTATTTATAATAGTTTCTTAAATGTGAATTTAATTATAATAGTATTAAACTACAAATCCAAATAGAAAGAAATGTTAAAATACTCGAAAAAAGTAATTCATTATTTGTAGTAATGATGATATTACTTGAACCTACATTAAATAATAAGGATATTGAATAATAGAATGAATGACAGTATTTAGTCATTTTATCTGATTCATCTAAATTATATTGATAAATCCATGATTTTTCATCATTTATTCCAATTATATGCCATAAACATGAACTTAAATGTAATAAATACAATAATTATCCAATATTTATAATTAGTTCAAAATTTAAGGAGGTAAAATCTTATAATTTATTAAGGATTGAATTTAATTTTACAAATGATGAAATAAATTATAAGGCATATAAAATGAGTAAAATTTCATCGTTATTATTTTATAATAGCAATACCGTAGTTGAAACTGAATATATTATATTAACAAGTATATTACAAGGAATTTAATGTCGTTTAACATCGAATTTGTTAATTATCATGTATCCTTTTTAAATATATGGGGAAATTAAACAAATAAATATATCGAGTACAATAAATAAAATGAATATAATTTATGTTAATTATTGATTTTATGATTGAAATGCAATTTTAAAGATTAACCAAAATAGTAAAATGATAGTTTATAATAAAGTGACCAAATCCCAAATAAAATAAAATAAAAAATCTAATATTATTAGATTTCTATTATTTATAAGTGTATTATTAGGCATTGTCATGTATTTTTCAGTTAAAATTTGTTTTTATAATGAATTAAAAAAGTAGTCATTATAAATATACGCTTTTTGTTTGAGAACACCTATGAATTTATGAATGAATTTTTTATCTAAAATATCTTTACCCATATTAGGTTATGAAAATACAAACTTCTTAAACCTATTAAAATTACTTTTTTTCATTCTTTTAGTATCTGTTTCATCTATAAGTCTAACTTCAGGTGTGTCTCCATTTAATAGATGACTTGGTCGTTATGGATCACTTTATCTATGAATGCTCTAACAATGAAATATCATTTTACAGGATCCGAAAATGGATTTACATTACTCAAAAGAGATGAATTAATAGTTGGTGGTTTAAGATCTGAAGGAGAATGTAAAGATTTAGGCATTTATGAACTGGATATTCTTTGGACTCCTATTTTATGATCACTTTCATATGATAAATTTATCATAATAATTATATAATAATCATTTGTAAATTATATTTGTTAATTTTAGAATAAATTTTGAATTTACTTTTCCTATTTGCAAAAATATCTAACTAAATTCAATTTATTTTTCTTATTTTTAAATCATACTTAGAAATTCTTTTAAATTAAACATAATTTACAATGATGATCAATAGTTATAATTGTTTTATTATATTTAGTAATTATTATTTAAATTAGATCTGTTTTATGATACCAAATTATCAATTTACTTGATACTAATTTTATTAGTTTTCAATTAGAAGGATCCAAAAGGAACAAAATTAATTACTAATAACCAACTGAATAATTAAAATTGACTTTGGCCTTGTCTGAATAATTGCATAATCCTAATTATCAAATAAAAATTTTTCTCTAAAAATTTATCTTACTCAATTTCTCAAATTCTAAATATTGTAAAATTATACCATTTATTCTATTTTTTATTTTAAACTTTATTACTTTATATTTATATTGTACATAATATTGTAATTTTATAGCTGGCTAAGGTATCATATTAAATTGGTAATTTTAAGTATAAATTAGTTGTTTTATGTATCAAGGTGATTAATAGTTTCAAATTTATTTTCTAATATTATTAGAACTGATTATTAATTACTAATGCTTAAGTCCTATAGTAAAATTTGGAATGTAAAATGATTAGGGAATTATAATTTAATAAATTCAGAAGGATAGCGTACTAATTAAATTCCAAAATAGAGTAATAAAAATAAAGTATAATCCCGTTTTTGTTTGAATTTCTAGCTTTATTGAACTGATATATTTTTTATGGGATTCATAAACATCGATAGATGGAAACCAAGTAGAAGTGGGGAAAATATTTTAGGGTGAATATCAACTTTTAGTCCTTAAGATGGCAATTAAAATGCAATTTCATAATGATATTTAATATATTGTATTGATTGAGTGAATAAAATAAAGCAAATAAGTGAACTATAGTTGGAATTTTTATGTAGATATTTTTATAAATATTATAACTAATTGAATAGTTAAATTGTGAAAAAATTAAAATATAAGTAGCTTGGTTATTGCTTAAAAATAAAAAAAATAATTCATAAATATAGTTATTAATAGTTATTAATCAGTTTTGATTAAAATTTTCATCCCATTTATTTTTTATTAACAAAAAAATCAGAATTTTTTAATTAAACATTATTCAGCTGAAATTATTTCTATTAACATAAATATTATAAGCTAAATAAATAATCAAAGAAAATAATTAGTTATTGCCTTTTTACTAAAATCCACTTTTATTAATATTGCAGACTTTTAATTAGTAAATTTTTTGCCTTAATCTAAACCATAAAAAATATCTCATTTTTCTTTTTATTAATATTTAATACTTTTTCCATAGCATTTATTATAATAAAGTAAGTAAATTTTTTGAGATCATGGATTTTTTTAACTATATATTTATGGACATTCCTTCAAAATGCATTTCATTCAGTCCAAATTGATTTTATCCACAAAATGCTTGAATGAAGGGGGATTTACTGTGTTACGGGGTAAATGACTAAGTTTTTGTTTATAATAGTGAAACCAAATACTTCAAATATACATTGCAATGATAATAAAAAGTAACAAAGTTATATTAAAAGATAAATACAACTTTGTTGGCTTAGAGGGCGGGTTTATAACAATTTTTTAACAATGAATTTAATTGAAATTCCTATGATTTTAAAGGAAATCCATAATGAATATTTGTTATTAGATAACAAGGTATAGCACTTGGATGATAAATTTGAATTGATTGATTTTGGATTGAAATTAATAACTTAACCTTATTGTATTCCAAAATGGGGAGATGAGAATGTAGTCATTTATTAGAGTGGAAGAAGGTATATATATGAATAAAAATTTGAAAATGATTATCCATATCATATTTTATGCGTTGATAGATTTAAAAATAAATATGGAGTGTTAAATAAATTGCATAAAGCAATTAGTCTACATGTATTTGAATTAGATCAAATATATGAATGGAAATAAACAAATACCATTAATGATAATGATATTTTCATTGAATTAAGATTGATAATAAATGAGAAGATGCCAACAGAAAATCTCAAAGAAGCTTTATTAAGAATTAAATTTTTGGATGATAAACAAATTTATATTACTTCTAAAAAAGGTGAAATCTTTTTAATTTCTTTAACAAAATAAGTCAAATAATTAAAATTGGATGCCAATGTCATTTCTGATAAATATTTCTACAAATTACCATAAGAAATTCACATCAAGGGTATATATTTAATAAATAACTATCAATATAAATATTATACAGTAGGTTTAGATAGAATAATATTTTCATTTTGTATTGAAGATAGTTAAATTTTTGATTATCATAAATTTGCTTGTTTGGCTGGCAAAGTCAACAAATTATAAATTAATAAAGAAAAGAATTTAAAATATTATCATGATAAAAAACTAAAATCTCTTCAAAATATAAATATGATAAAATGTGTTCTATTACTCAAAATAAAATTGTGATACAAAATAAATTCATAATGTAGATATAAATTGCATTGATGTCAGTTTATACAGGTATCTAATGAATTAACTTTTGTTATTGATAGAATTATACTTTAGATTCCTAACATTTAATTGATTGTACAATAACAATATCTACTTATTTACTGGTTGCAATAACCAAACGTTATCTATAAATGTTATCCATGATGAAATCGTTCTATTGGATTATTTGTAACATAGATTTCCTATTCAAAAAGTTTAATAAAGAAATGGATTAGTTACAGCATTAGCTAAATGTCATTAATAATTATAAATTTGGAATGTTATTTAAATTCTATAAAGAATGATATCGATAAACTCTTGAAGGATTAGAAAAAACTAATATTAGAAGTCACAGAGGATTTTGTTAAATTTTGTGTATTTCACTAACAATTTGATTATCACAAGTAAAATTATTGATTTATTTTAGGTTCTGGAGATCAAACAATTAAATTATTTGATATTGAATAGATATAAAACAAAGTTCCTCCAAATAAGAAGAAGAATTAAAAGAAATATTGAATATATATATATATATTAATAAATATATAATAAAATGAAACATTCTTAATTAGTTCACCTACTGTCCAAATAACCTCAATCTATTGATTATTAAGGAGTTACTTAAATGAGTACTCCACGAGCCAATTAACAATCATAATAAACTTTGACATTACCTCATAAATTGACTACATTAAGTACAGCCTACAGTAAAGAGTAAAGATTATTAACAGAAGGTAATGAGGATTTAGATGTCTAAGTAAACTAATTCAATGTAATAAGAAAATAAAAGATTTGCAAAATAGATTGATATCTAGATGTACTACGTTAGAATTTCTTATTTAAGTTATTACAACACATAAAAATGAATTGAATAGTCTACCAACTATCTAAAAAATTGAGTAACTCTTAATTTCTATTATAAATACTATCTAAAATACAACCAAAAGTGAAATATAATTAGGTTTTTTAAATAGATAGCAAAAGAAAACTTCAAGTATTCTAATTTAATAATTTTCTAGTGTTCAATAAATAGGTATTGAAGAAAGAGGCTGAATTATTTGATAGGAATAAATCATTGTAATAAGAAGTGGAAATCAATTCAACCAAAAGTAATAAATTGATAGAAGAAAATTAAAAATTATAAATGTAATTGAAATAAGAAAAAAATTTTAATGAAATTAATATTAAGAAAATAGCTGCATTAGAAAAGAGAATTGAATTTATTGTATCAAATGATATCAACATTTTTGAAATGAGATCAAATTTAACTATTCTAATGAAAGAAAACGAAAAATTGAAAAGAGATTTGGAAAGAAAAAATTAAGAGGTTGAAAGAATTTAAGGGAAATTAAATTAATATCAATTAGTAGTAAGTAGGTTATAAAAAACTATTGATAATATAAGAAAAAAAAATGATGATGATGAAATTAGAGGATTCATTAAAAAAGATGATATTGAATTATTAATGAATTTTAAAATACCATAAAATTTAGATTTTAGAATAGTTTGTTAGAAATTAGATCATCAAAACTTATTAAATGATTTATGCGAGAAAGGAGTTGCAAATACCCTTTAATAAATTTCGTAATAATCTTAGGAAGTTTAAAAATAATAAATCACTTATTATTACAATTAATTATTGTCTTTTAAGGATTTTTCTGAGAGATTGAATTAACTTTTATTGTAAATGGAAGAGTTTAGTAATTCTTAAACATTAGAAGATCTGATTTTTTATGTAAATAGAAAATTACCTTAAGTATTTAAATGCGAGACAGTAAAATTGTGGTTGCTAGATACAAAAAATGGATTATTGTATTCTTATTTGGAAACTCGATAATAAATAAAGGCATTATAAGATAAAGGATTAGTAGCAGATACATTCAAAATGTATTAAGCATAGAACATAAGTTAGAAACCAAAGAAAGCAATAATTTATAGAATAAATGATTGTGAATAACCAGAATATGGAAAAAGTGCATTAATATTGCCTATATATTGTATAAGTTAGAATATAATAAGAGGTAGTTTGATAATATTGAATTCTGAATCAGAATAATTTTCATTTGATGAAGAATACTTTGGAATAATAATAAGTAGATTCTTAGGAATTATAATTTAAAGATTAGTAGATAAGGAAAGTTGGTTAATAGCTTAAAAGTATAGAAATTTAATGAATAATCAGTTAACAGAGATTTTAAGATCTAAGAATAAATAGATTGCGAGTGAAAGAATCAAATTAAGTTTTAAGAGAATATTTGGATTTCAGATAATAAGGTTTTATTTTGTAATGAATGAACAATTGATAAGTTTTGAAAATCAAAAGTAATAGACATTTTCATTGGATTATGGATTAGCAGGAATGGCAGTAAGGAATAAATAAAGATACATTGTGAATGATATAAAAAAATCAGTTAATTTTAATCCAAAGGTTGATTTGATATCTCTTTTACCAATTTTTATTTTACCTTTATTAAATAAATAGGATGTGGTGATTGGAGTGGTGGAAGTATGATTTGTTATTGAAATTTAGACTTGCTTAAAGAACAAATTATCAATTGATATGGAAAGGGAACACTTATTAGAAGTTAGTGAGAATCTCTTTGGAATTGAAGAACAGTTGACAAGTTAATTATAAAGTTATGTAGAGTTATTGGCAGGGACTTTATCTAATATAGAATTTTGATATAATATTAGATTAAATTTATTCTAATAATAAAATAAAGATGTCTGAAAAATAATTGGATAGTCAATATAAATTATAGGAGTAGGAGACATAATCAGGAAATAATTTTGAATTAAGTAGTCCTTAAGGAAGTAGTAAGAAGAAAGGAAGAGCACGAACAGCATCAGAAAGGACATTTAGTGCTGCAGAAACCTTGTATGGACGACCAAGAAATACAGGATCTATGATACTCTTGAGGACAGCTGATCAATTTAATAAAAAGGTTATTCATGATGTGATTAATCATTCTCCATCTAAATAACAATATTCATTTGCTAAGGCCACAAGATTCTCGAAACCTCGTTCCAGTTATTGTCAACAATAATTTTATGATTCTTAGTATTTCAATCTTTTTTATATTTTAGGATAAGAACATCTCTAGGTAAAAGAACTTGCAGTTTCGGATTTGGTATAAAATTTGACTTTGCCAAATTAACTGATAAGTATATACCTCCTCCTACAGCTTATACTTTAAAATCGAAACCTAAGCCAGTTACAAAATTTGGGTATGGCAGAGAAGAAACAAAAGCTGTAGGAATTTATGGTAATCCAAGTAAAAATCCAGCACCTAATACCTATACTTTGAAAGATACTTTCTCCAACATCAAATTTTCATTTGGAGAAAGAACCAAAGCCAAACGTATTTAATAATTTACATTTTAGATATTTATTTGGAATCTACAACTCCATCTCCTTGTGCATATAATGTTGGTGGTATAAGTAAAACTGGAAATTATTTTAATTCCAAATACTCTAGCAATCGAGCTCCTTTGTTTTCTCCTTCAAATAATAAGTCTTTCAGAATTATTAAAACTCCTGGGCCAGGAACATATGATCCTCCAGGAGATATTGCTGATTTCAGATTGAAAAGTAGTTCAGGTTTCAGTTTTGGAGCATCAGAAAGAAAAACTATTTAAATTCGAAATAAAGTTTGTATATGATTAAAATTTCATTATATTAGTTCCTGGGCCTGGTACTTATCAATTACCATCAGAATTTGGTGATGTTGAATATCCAGATTGATAATCATTATTATTATCGTTGTAACAATCAATCAAATTATTAATAAAATTATATTTATAAATGTTGACTTTAACATAAATGGATGAAATAATCAAACTGACAGAATAGCATATGATTAATTGTTAATTCAATTATGATTTTAAAGAAGCTGATGAAGTAAAATCTAAAATACTTTAAATGAAAACTATTAGAGATCTTATTGAAAGAGAAGAAATTTAGGAATAATTCAAATTAGGAGAAGAAAGAATTTTATCATAAACTAAGTAATAAATAGATGAAGTCAATTAATATTTTAATTAATTATTTGAAAAATTCAATTATTAGAAAAGTCAAGCACTTTAATAGTTATGGCATCAATAAAAAATAAAATTATAAAAATCTGTCTTTTATAAAAGATAACAAAATGCTGAATATCAAAATTTATAAAAAATTATGACATATTTGTCAAATCAAAAAGAATTTAAAAAGGCAGAGTAATATCAGGTATATCTAAAAGAAGCAAGTTAAGATCATATGAGAAGAACTCAATCTGAATAAAGATAGACTTAAGAAACACAATAAAGAGTACTCAAATAAAAACATGCATATTAAGAAGAGGTGTTGATTAATAAATTTAATGATTAAGAATAATTAATTAAATTAGAAATGAATAAAAAATTATAAGAAATTGAATAAAAAAGAATAAATCAAATAACTCAATTATAATTTGAGAGAAACCAAAAAATAACTTAACTTGAAAGAAGTAGAACTAAATCTATTAAAGTTTAAATCTAATAATAATTAGATGAGATGGAAAAATGTTCCTTTCTTTTAAAATGAATTTATATTAATTAATTTTATTTTAGTTTATAAAATATATTATAGAGAATTCAAATACTACAAGTTTTACTAAATATCATTCAAACCTTATTGCTTTATAATCCTTCTCATTTTCAATTCCAATCCAACCATATTCTCTTTTAATTTGTGATATTCCTATTGCTAATTGAATATTTTCAATCAAACCCAAAGGATCTATAAGTTCCCTTGTTATAGGATCTATATAGCCATTTTGTTTAAATTGTTATTAAATACTAGATTTGTCATAAGTAAGTCCTGAATTGAGAAGGATAGGTTCTTCAATCATTTCAAATAAGATTGGACATACAAAATACTCTGGCATCTATATATCTCTTTATTTTTATATGTTTTATTCAATAGCAGACCAATCTAATTTTTATTATTAACGATGAGAAATATCTAATAGAGTTTATTTGAGAGTTTAGATATCTAATTTATTTGCAATAAAACCATACTTTTTTTGTCAATTTCTTATCTTATTAAATACATCATCCTTTTACCTTTTGCTAAATTTTGGTTGATTAGAACACTTAATTTATTTTTTTATTCTTTCTTACTTATTTTAACTAATTCTTGAGCTATATATATTATATTATAAATTATTTACCACTCTCTAGTTCCTTTATGCCTTATTAAGCCTAATTAATGAGAGATTCTGTTGTATCAGGAAACATTTGAACTTCAATTAAAATGATTGTTCCATAAATGAAATGAGCTCTAGAATTTTTTTAATCAATTTTCAAAGCTTATTAGGCATCTTACTTTGCTTCTTAGAATCTATTTAAAAGTTTATTCGCAACAGATCGATTTGAGAAATAAATTGAGTCTCGATCAAATAAGTTCTAATTACATATAATTTTACTATAGCTTATGTATATGATTCTATAGCCTTTTTATATTACTTTTATTAAATATACAAGTTTCCTTATGTCTTATATTCCAATGATTTTTTAATATTTTATGATTATCGTCGATTCATAATACCATTAAATTCATTACTTTTCTTTGCAGCTTTAAGTACTTTTCTTTCAGGATATTCATAATTTTATGATAAATTCTTTTGTTAATATTCCTATTCTGATAAAATATCTGAAATTTCTTCATAATTAGGAGCTGTATTTCCCATTATTTAATATATTAATATATATTAATCAATAAAATTATAGCATCAATTTTAATTATCTTTTTCAATATATATTTTATTGAGTACTCAATAAAAACAAATAAATGCTTTATAAGTTTAATTATTTGAGTTTTAGACAGTCAAAAATTACTAATAAATTTGATTTAGCATAGACAACTATAATATATACAAAAATGAAAATAACAACTATATGTAATAAAATTATATTCAAATCAATTTGACGTATTTTGAGATCATTCAAGTTTAAAAAATAATGAATGAATTTAAAACATAAAGAAAATAGTTATCATTTCTAATATATATAATAATATAAAATTTAAATTATATTTATATTTTGTATTCAATTTTTCAGATCAAGAAAAGATATTCCCTCACTTTCTTTTTTCTATTTATAATCTATAAATTTCAAGAATATAATTAAACCTAAATAGTAGTTCAAATTATATAATTTTAATTGATTTCACAAAGTCAAAGAAATTTTCTGATTTTATAAAAAAATATTCTACATCAGGTTTTTAGATAATGATTTAAATATTACTCTTCAAAATGAATACTACATTATTTATACGAACACATAATCTCAAGTTTGAAATAGATTATATTTGGATTAAATTTGATAAAGATTTATATTTTTCATTATAAATGAGGCATCTTAAAGAATTATTTAATAGATATTTAATAAATTAAGATATTTATTTAACAAATGAACAATTAAAATACTTACTAAAATTCAGGTGTAGATTTATAAAATATCAAAACCTTGTATTTCAATTAAAATTACCCATCTGTAAAAATTTTTATTGATTTAGGGATTTGAATTATTTGAACTAAAAAGAAAAATTTATAGGCCTATTAATTTTGAAGATGGCTTAATTTATAGTAGAATAAGTTAATAAGGATAGGATTATTAAATAAAACATATTAAGCTTTATAATTTAATAATTTCTAAAGTCTAGTTGGATAAGAATTAAAAAGAGGGTAAAGGAGAGGAAATAAAATTTAACGATGACAAAGAATTTGAGGAATTACTTAATTAGAATGAAACAACTAGTAGTCTGCTTAAATCGATTGATTATTATCCATCAGAGACGGAAATTATTTTAAGATAGTAAATTAACTAATAGATTTTTGAATTTGAAAAGGTAATAGATAACAGTGTCACATTTTGTTTAATTTATGAAAATTAAGAATTATCAGAGATTGATCAAAAAATAGTTTAATACAAACAAATTTTTGGTGAATATAGAGAAACTAATATTGTAATAATTATCAATGGAAAAGAAAAACATAAATTTAATGATTAAGTTAAATTTTAAGAAGATATAAAAGAAAATAAATGTAATATTTTACTAATAATTAGGTAACATTTGTTATACTTATGAATATAAAGATTGTATATTTTTGGTAATAGATGAAGAATAAAGCATGATTAAGCTATTAAATTGGATCTATAGAGGAATCTTTAAACATTTTCAATCCTAATATTTTTATGTTGGCTTTTTGAGCATTCAAGTTGATGTTAATAGATTTTAATTGATGGATCAAATGATGATAAACGAAAATTATTGTGGAGCAACTGGATATTATAATTTATTTCATGATAAAGGAGATTTCTCATTAATTAATCTTAATAACTCATTTATTGGATATATGAATTTTTTAAATTATTAGTTTTAAATAGATTCTTTAGCATCATTAAAGAGATTTCACAATCCCTTTTTCTCATATTATAAATGGAATGACTGTTATAAATATTTTGATTCTTATTTTGAAGATTTAGAAAGAGAATATTAGTAAGGAAATATAAATTTACATTTAAATTCTTTATTTCCTTAAAAAATTTATGAATCGAACAAGAAGGAATTTTTTTCATTAAGTAGCAATTTAGGGGAAAAGAAAATTTTTGAAAATGATTAAGTGTAGATATTTTTAGAATTATCAAACAAGATAAAATCCATTCACATATGCAATGATTAAGCCTTACAATTACATGGTAATAGATACAAATTCATATTAACCTTAAGAAATCTTTAAACTAAAATAACATTATCAGAAGTTTTATTTTTGTATACTTTCTCTCCTTATCAATTATTATACAATGTTACATCGAATGCTTACTTAAAAGTATTATTAACAATTTTTTGGCCACTAACTCTTTTCCTCCTAATATTAATGTTTGTATTATTAGTTTTATAATATTCAATTGGTGTATCCATGGTTAAAAAAAAAAAAAAATTAATGTACTTAATATTAAATAATGATGAATTATAAATTAAATTTGGATAAAAATTAGAAACAATTAAAAATATTTCAAGTTATGAGTATAGTTCCGAACTTAAAACGAAAGAAAAAGTATATAGATTTGAAAATTTAATAAAAGAATTAAATGAACACTAAAAAAAAGTAAATAAGAAAAAAGAAAACCCATCAACTTTTTGTAATAGCTCATAACAATTTAATAATGAAAATAATTAATAATAAGATTTTTTATTATAATAAAATGCTTAATCAGAATAGATATTTAAAATTTCTACTTAGCTCATTTCTGAAAAAAAAATTGATAAATATTATAAAAATTTATTTTGTTTTACTTAAATAGTTTAACTCTATTGCTCAGCAATAGTAATTATCAACCTAATTATTACATATGGAAGTAATATAATATCTGAAGATCCAAATGTATAATAATATGTCACCATTTTTGGAATTTTTGTATTTATTGGTGTTTTTCTATTAAGAAACCTTTCATTTACTAAATAATAATTTTTGTATATTATTTTATTAATTAATAGGAGATCAATAGTTATGACATTTTATATTTTTTTGAATATGTTGATCACAATTGTTTATTCTGAAATGTATCATTTATTGAGAATTAAAATACAACCTAAAGAGTATAGGAAATAAATTAAAAAATTATCTCACTATTTAAGTTTAAACATTTTCCTATTAATTATGTAAATATATTGTTGTTATTTAAAGTTTATATATTTTGGAAACGGCTATGAATTTTGAAGGTTATATATTGTCAGTAATCATATTTTACAATTTGATCATTTATTTATTAGATTCATTTGTGGTCATAGTGGCAAAATTAAAAGAATTCTTTAACAAACCTATCAACAACAGATCTAATGGAACTTAATAATCATAAAGAAAATTGAAAAAGGAGAAATTTTTTGAAAAATATCTAGATATTATATACAATTATCTTATTGATTTAAAAGAAGAAGATATAAAAAAGTAAGAACAAGCTCAATAAGAGAAGTAAAATGAGCAAAATAAATTAAAAGAAGTAATAATTTCTAATATTTTGAAAAAGATATTATAAAAAGAAGAGAATTAGTCCTTAAATGAAATTAAATTAAATTTTATCGAACCTGAGGATATGAACTTTAAGGATAATATTAATAGAAGTATTTAATAATCTAATTATTTTGAATGATCCTTTAAATAAATTTTTCATTTATATTTATATCATTAATTCCTTTTTCGTGATGAATTGCATAATAAAATATTGAATTGCAAATTCTCTTCTAAATAAAAATCAATACTAATATTATAAAGTGGGTTAATATATAAAAAATCAAATAGAATTCTTTAATAAAGAGTTTTAGCTCTTGCACAAATTGTTTTATCAAAATAATGGGTATATGAGATATATTAATTTTAACAAAATAATTAGTAAAATACCAACAAATAAATAAAAAAAATAATAAAATGGCTTTGTCTGAATTGAATTATTCTAATGAAAAATTTACAAGAAAATAATAGAAAAACTGTGAGGGTTGATTAACATAAATTAAAAATAATAAAAATTCACCAAAACAAATTTCTTATATATTTTAATTAAAAATTTCATAGATACTTTTTTTTAAATGATATATTATCAATATTAATTAATAGTAATTAATTAATATTTACAAAAATCTCTTATTAACAAGATTAATAATTTTTACATAATATAATTAATTTTCTATTAACTATGAATTATTAAACAATTAACATTAAATTTTATTTTATCAAATTTTTCTCCTTATTTTGACCCAAGTACTACAACCAATAATAAATATAAATAAATTATAATTTATATTATTTTGATTTATATCATTTTCATTATTGTTTAATTTTCACAGAACTAATAGTTCCACCTTACCAACGAACAGCAAATCCATACTCATCAAATGAGCAATATTCAACATCATTTTTTTTAATCCAATCACAATTATTGCTACTAAATTGTGTAAAATTTGATTGATCTTTTCCTTAACTTTTTTGAAGGTATCCAGAAACCAAAGTTGGGAAATGGAATTTATAAACAACAAATTAGCCATTTGGATCAATCAATAAACTTACATTTTTAAGTAAAATCAAAGATTAGAGAAGTTCATTGGCTCCAGCACTTATTATTAATTATGATTAATTACTTTTATTTTAAAGATGCTACTTTTTAATTTGAGTCTATTTTTTATGATTCTTATTAAATTGGTGTTATATTTATAATCACATATTAATTAAAATTTGTGTAATTATACAAATTTTGGCTAATATCAACGTTCGTATATAATGGTGATGAACTTTAATCATAAAAATCAACTTTGAAATTCTACCCTTTTATCAATCCTTATTATAATAATTGGGATAACATCTATTCAATAGTATTAGAAAATTACATCAAGTAGAGGCATATTTTACAAATATTATTGTAATATTGAATTACCTTCAAAAAATATCGAAAATGTTGGTGAATTTGGATATATATAAACAGTTGAATCTGGTTAAAATTATATTGTTGAATTATCTAATGGGTTTAAAATTGTTTATCCATCTAATGTTAAGTAAATCATTGAACTATCTAGTTAGTATTGTTGTAAGTATTGATACATTTCTGCCACTGTTATAGAATAATTGTGAGGTACGGGATTGATTTAATATCCAATTTATGATCCATCGAAATAAATACTCATACTTATTTTTATTTTAATACTAATATTAATAGAAATAGAAGTGTAATAAAATCAATTATAAATTAATATATTTTATTGATATAATCTTAAATACAAAATATAATTATTAATGTTTATTTAGTATTACAATAAAATATAGTAAATAAATCTCAATTTATTTGAGATTGAAAGAATGAAAAATGCCTTGAATTTATGTTATACTAGATAATATTTTATTATTGTTATTTAACTTTAAATCTCTTGAAAATTCAATAAATATAGTGATAAGGTTTACTAAACTAATGTAAATTTTCCTTTAATATCTTTTATAAATCAACTAATCAATATATTTATTATTTATTATCAATTCATTTTAATCCTTCTATTGAATATCGTAGTATCTTACTTATATTCATTCTGTTTTATAAGTTTAATTAAATTAATATTAAGTTTCATTCTAAAATAAGTTAAAACTATTAATTTGAAGATGATAGTATTTCTTCATAATTATATTATATTTATAATAATAATACACATAATATTTTTATGTATAGGAACTTTTAAATAAATCTGGTAAAATGTGATCCTAAAATATATATATTATTAGAAATTTGGATTACATCTCATAAATATATATATTATAAATAATATCAAATAATTAATGAGATAATTTATATCAAAAAATCCAGCAACAAAATAGGTATTAGGAGAATTTAAGTTTCTAAGTGATCAAGAATTAAATCACATAATACAATAATCAAAAGAAGGATTTTAAATCAACAAAAATAGTTCATTTTAAATAAAATCAGAGAAATTATTGAAGTTGGCAGATTTATTAGGTTAGAATTAAGAAAAATATTCCAAATTGATATCTTATGAAATAGGGAAACCAATATAATAATCAATGGCTGAAGTAAAGAAATCATAAAATTATTGTAAATACTATGCTGAAAATATAAATAAATATTTATAGCCTTAAAGAGTTAAAACAGAGGCAAAGAATAGTTATGTACAATATTCACCAATAGGTACAATCTATTCAATATCTCCATTTAATTTTCCATTTTGGTTATGTAATAAAAAATGTTAAATTTAGGTTTTAAGCCAATTATACCTATGCTAGTAATTGGTAATGCAGTAATTCATAGACCATCTGATTCTACTGGTCTCTGTGGTTTAGCTCTTTAGGAGCTTTTTACATCTGCAGGATTTGATGGAAATGTTTTTTAGAATGCATTTACAACTCCTTAATAATTAGAATAAGTGATGGCACATCCTTAAATATAAGGTGTATCATTTACTGGTTCTACAGCTGCAGGTTCAATAATAGGAGCTACTGCTGGTAAATATTTAAAAAGAAGTGTTTTGGAATTGGGAGGATCTGATCCATTTTGTGTATTATAAAATGCAAATGTTGATTTGGCAGTTCAATTAGCTCTTAAATCAAGAGTAGCTAATTGTGGATAAGTATGTTTTTCAGCAAAAAGATTCATAATTCATTCTCAATATTATGATATATTTAAAGAAAAATTAGTGAATGCTTTGGAGAAATTGAAAATTGGTGATCCTTTACAAGAAAATACAGATTTAGGTCCAATGGCTAGAGAAGATTTAATTATAAATATTTTAAATTAGATAAAGAAGGGAGTGGATGGAGGTGCAAAAATAGTTTATGGAGGTAATAGATTAAAGGATAATGAGAATTTTATGATGCCAACAGTAATTGAAATAGATGAATAGAATATATTAGCAAAAGAAGAAACATTTGGTCCATTATTTAGTTTAATAAAAGCTAATAGTAATGATGAAATTTTAAGGATTGCAAATAATACATCTTATGGATTAGGTGCAGTAGTTATCAGTAATGATAAGAAAGAGATTGAATAATTTGTTAATCATTTAGAAGCAGGAATGGTATTTGTAAATGAAATAGTCAAATCAGATTAAAGATTACCATCTGGAGGAATAAAAGGATCTGGATATGGAAGAGAATGTGGTGAATGGGGAATTTAGAACTTTGCTAATATTAAGACAGTTTGGATTGAATGAAAATTATTCACATTTATATAAATAAGAAATTAAAATGAAAAATAAAAGATCATTAATATAAGAATAATAACCAGATCATGATACAATTAGAAGACAGAATGAAATTACACTATAACCTACAATTCAAGTATATAAGATGTATACTTAATTACATACAGCAGCTTAAGCTGAATAAGTGGCTGATTCTCTTTCTACAATAGAATTTATGTAAAAACATTGTGATAAGAATATGAAAGTTAGAGAATTTGCTATGTATGCTGCTCAGTTTTTTAAATATGAACACTATAATTTTGGTTAAGCTATAATGAATTAAGGAGAATATGGAGATAGATTTTATATTCTGTTACATGGTGAGGTTGGTGTTTATATTAAAAGATCAGTTGAAGATATCGAACAAGAATTAGATTTTATTACTCAATAAAGTAGTGAAACAAATATAGGTGGTAATCTATTAAAGAAAAAGAAAACTATTCAACTTCCTTAATTTAATAGATTTGATTTGGCTCTTAGAATGTTAAAAGAGAATCCAATATATTTTAATAGTGATGTCCCATTATTTAAGAAAGTATGGTAATATTATTCTGGTTAATGTTTTGGTGATTAAGCATTAATACTTGATCAACCTAGATCTGCTAGTGTTATTGTGGTATCTGAAGAAGCACATTTAATTTCTATGAATAAACATGATTATAAATTAGTTTGTGATAAATAGATTTAAGAATAAAATCTAAAAATTGAATACTTTATGAAATTATTTAATGGTGCTTCTAAATTTACTGTTTCTAAATTCATATAAAATTTAAGAACAATTAATTTTGCATCTTAAACTATTTTATGGAAAGAAGGTGAAGAACCTAAATTTTATTTTCTAATTTAAAAAGGAAGAGTTGAACTTTTTAGACATATTTATGATGATACAAATACATAATCAAATACAAAAAAAAAAAAAAAAATAGTATTAAGTTAATTATCAGACAATGCTTTTGTAGGTTAAGAAGAAATAATTGATTCTTTGCCATAAAGATTATATTCATGTCAAGTATTAGATAACACTATTGCATATTATATGGAAGCAACAGAATTCAATAATTTAAAAAAAAACTTTCCTGATATTGTTAAATTATTAAAAGATAAAAGTAATCTAATTTAAGAATATATGTCTAATAGATAAGCCAAAATTATTTCTATCTTATAATAACATGACAAAGCATAAAATTCATAATCTTAATAATTATAAATTACAGAAAGAAAAACTATTCAAGAAATCTTCAAAAATCCAGATGAAAGACCAGATAAAAATGATATTAGATCTTAAAAACCAAGAGTCTTATTATAATCTGAAATTGCTCATTAAAATATGATTTATCATCTTAAAAAATTACCTAATGATCCAAAAACTAAATTTTTAATGCTTGATAAAGAAATGATTGATCAAATTAGAGATAGAGTTTCTAGAAAAATATAAACTAATGCTGAAAAGAAAATAAGAATCAAAACTACATCACTTGATGATAATCAAATTTTAATTAATAGAGTTTAAAGTGCAGCCAGTACTAAATCTAAGAAATTAAAAAGATTTGATAATCTTGATACTGTACTTTAAATTACTTCTTCAGAACCAAACATAATATCACCAAATTTTGCTACATCTTCAACTACATCAATACCTATTGTTTAAAGAGCATGGAATCCTTTAAGTAAATAATTAAAAGCTAGAATGCGTAAAACTATGAGTTGCATGTTCAGTCGAAATACTATACCTACAAGACAAACTGAATCTGATGAAATATTTTCTTAATTTACTCAACCTGTTAGAATTCATACTGGAAAATCTCATAGTCGAAAAATGTATCAATTTAATCAATATTTAGAACTTCCTCTATTGGTTCGCGCAAAAAAAGTGCCTAATATCACAGTTTTATTTGAATATTATATTTTAATTAACATGATGCATTAAACACTGAATCACCAAAATAGAGTAAAGACAGAACCAAATTAAACATAAGTCATGACTCCTTTCTATAATCCTGTAATATCAAATGTAATTTTTAAGTTTAGTTTTTTAGAGTAGAAAGACAGTCATGGCAGAGGCATACAAGATTATGTAATTAATTGATGAAAATCATCAAATTACTATCAAATATTAACATATTAAAATTGTATTAGCAATTTATTCAATCTTTAACTTAACATCCAAACTTCGATCAACAAAAATTTTAAAATATTGGAAAATTTTATTCCAAAATTTATCAAAATATGATATTCCTTCAAATGCATAACATTATGAATTTATATACAATAGACAATAATAGTTATAATTATAAGGTATTACTAAATTAACAAAATATACTATTAAAATAAAAAAAAAATTTTTACTTAAGCTAAGTTATAAGCTTAAATTAAAGAGGAAACTTAACACAGTATTTAATAGAATTGGCAACTAAATTTATTAAAATAAGCTTTAAAGTATAATAAATATTATTTTATACTCTAAAAAAGAAAAAAGTCTTTTGGATAACCTAAGTTATTATTATTGCAAAAAATAATTAAAAATTTAAGAGAAAATGGCAATCAAATTTTCAAGCTCAACATTATTTATAAAAGCCCTTAATAATAAAGTTTAGTAATATCAAATTAGCTTTTTTATTAAATTGATTAAACCGAAAGAATCATAATCAACAATCAACTAATTTTCTTTAGGGGAAGATTTCTCAATTAATAATAATAAAATTAGAGTTGGAGAATTTGAACTAGTAGAAAAAAGATTAAATGGCATTTGTCTTCTCAATTCGGTAATCAAGAGGATATTTCACAATTATTTTTTGATTTTAAAATTACAAGATATGAACAATTCTAATAGAAGAGTAAGCATAAAATCATCAATTTTCAGTTCTCAATCTAGCATTTTAAGAAAATTAATGAAACACAGAGAAAGTATTATGGAATTATATTAATCAACAAATGACACTGAATAAAGTAAAAAAGATTAAGAATAGGATGATATAATTTTATATAAGAAAAACTCTATGTGTCAAACTCATCATCCTGAATCTCTGATTAAAAAGCGAATCTCTATAAGTAAATAATCAATATATATTTATATAGTTCAATCATCTTAAAAAATTGAGATGACTAAAAGGTAATCAATTGATCTCAAGACAATTAAAATTTAAAATTAGAAATCAAAATTTTTATTGATAATTCTAATTTGTTTTATTTTAGGAGTTCTGATGATGTTGAAAATATTTTAATGAGTTTTATTTATTTATGATCATACTGTTTGAAATTATTGCATTATTCTTATGTTAAATATTAATTTTTTCATTTATGTATTTATTACTTGCGTTGATCTTGAACCAAATTGTTGCTCATGAAGGATGTTAACATGAGCACCATAATCATAAAGAAGAATACAAAATAAATAATCTAATATATGCAGTAGCAATATTATAACCTGATAATGGAAGTGGTGTTAATGGAATAGTCAAAATGATATCAGATGGATATACTACAACAATTTAAGCTAAGATTACAGGGCTATCAGATGGATTGCATGGTTTTCATATTCATGAATTCGGAAATTTAATCAAAGGATGTATATCGGCTGGTCCTCATTATAATCCTTATGGTAAATTACATGGTGGTTCAAAAGATTAAGAAAGACATGTTGGTGATTTAGGAAATGTTCATTCAGAGAATGGAGTTGCTTATTTTAAAATAACTGATGATTTAGTGAAATTAAGTGGTTAATATAGTGTGATTGGAAGATCAATGGTTGTTCATGCAAATGAAGATGATCTTGGAAAAAGTGATCATCCTGATAGCAAAAGTACTGGTAATGCAGGTGCTCGTTTAGCTTGTGGTGTTATTGGAATTAGCGGCCCCTTTGAGTTTGATTGATTATTAATTTATTATAAATGAAATCATTTAATTCATTTCTGAAATTACTTCACATCTAATGGGAATAAATATGTAGTGATGATATTTCAGATTCAGTTAGAGATAAACTAAAATAATCTCTATAAAATCAATCTGTTTTAGAATCAAGGTTCATATCGTTATCAAAATCGAAAAGTGAAAATCCATAAGAATATGAAAGCTTTTTTGCTTAAGAAAGAGACTCTCCATTCTTTTCAACTTATTTACTAATATGTACTGTTATCAAAGAATACTATTCATAAACTGATAACATGTTAAGTGAATTGTCACCAAGTCTATAAAGTTCAAGTTCAACATAATAATAGATAACTATTGAATCAATCATAGACTGTATGGATAATCTACTTTATGAGTATTAAAAATTAACAGAGATCAATCTAATTGTGAGATAAGTCATATTTGAAGTTTTTTATTAGGTTGGAGGAAATGTCACAATTTTTATAAAGAATTTGATGTTAAACAATGATGAGTAGATTCTATCTTAAAAATACATAAAAGCATACATGAATTTATAAAAACTCTTAAAATTGAATATAAATCTAAATTTCAAAGAAAAACAAAAGATACTGCCTTTTATTTATTAAATGTTATTAGGAAATACTCTATATTTTGCTTATATAAATGAGATTGATTTTTAGAATTTCATAGAAATTTTTTAGTTATTTTAATAATGTTTTTTAGAAAATTCAAAGTAATTATAAGAATTAAGTGATATTGAATAATTTTAGGAGGTAACATTTTGCTAAGTTTATTCATAATGTTTAAAATAAAATTATCAATTATAATAATATACTGAGTTTTTATAATCAAATATATCTAAATGGGTTGAATAGATAAAAGAATTTAATGATGTCAATTACTATTTGATTTTCATTTATTTGATTTATGTCACAGAATTTGTAGATATCATCAATTTTCAACCAGAAATTATATAAACAAGAAATCAATAAATTATTAATTTAATAAAATAAAAGAATAATAGAGTTGTTAGTTATTTATTTAATCAAATATTATCTAATCCTAAATTAAAAAGTTATTTATAAATATTTGATGATATTTTCTAAAATTAAAATCATGATATTAAATTAATTTATTATAAATTAATAGGAGAATAACTTTTATAAATAAACAACCCTTAAATTATAGATTAATACCTTTGTATTCATATAAATGGATTAAAGGAATTTCTAAATGTCAATAATCTAAGTACATAATAACTTATACAATTCATAACATATTTATGCAAATATTATAATTAATTTAATGAAGATTAAAAAAAAGAATTTGATTCTTTACTTATTAAATTTTATTCTCAAGAAATCAAAGATGAATAATATTACAAAAAATTTGATATCAAAATTTTATAATTACTAGAAGATTAATAAATTTATTTATAAATTATTGATATTGCTATTAAAAATTCATCCAAAAGCAAATAACACAGTTATGGATTCTTAGTTTTCATCTAAGATGTAAAATAATTTTTTATTATATTAGTCTATTTAATAGAATTCTGAAGATTTACAACATATTTTAAAATATATTCATTTTTTAATGGGATCTTGTAAGAGAAACAATAAAGGTTAGAATAAAAAAAGTATCAATTATAAGAAAGGAAAAGGCACAAGAATACTTGACTTTTTATTATCAAATATGAGAATTTTTATAACAATAGTGAAGAGTGTTTATGATCTTATGATCAAAGAATCTAATATGACATTTAAAGAACAATAATGTAAAATATATATAGAGATTTATCATAAAATCACATATATCATATACTTAATATATTGGTTAATTGAAGATAAAAGTATATTAAATTCAGGAGGCATTTAATAAATTAGTTTAGAATTATGTTAAATTCACTATAAATTTACTATCAATTTAATAGTTATTCTTCAAAAAACTAATAATCTATAATCAAGTATTATTTATTAAATAATTAATAATATCAATTCTATTGCTCATGGATGTGATTATATTAATTATATCAAGGATAATTATTTTGATAAGAATGATAATTTAATAAATGCTTCGGATGTATTTGAATAATTAAATGAAAAAAGAGTTCAATTAAAATTAATATTCAATAAATTCTATGAAACAAGTTTAAGTATATTATTTGAAGTGCCATATATTACAATAGATAGGAGATTTTATTTATAAATATTAAGATTTCAATTAAAAACATAGATTTCACTTGTGCTTTCATTTACAGATTTCTGTCCTAAATTTATATTCTATTTTAGAATTGAAAGAGACCCTGAGATTATAAATTTAATGAAATAATGTGCAATTATTGTAGTCACATTAAATTAAGATCCTTAAATAATAAAATAATTATTTGAAACATTAAGTTATCATTAATCTACAATATTAATGAATGATCTTGATGAAATTTAATTAGATGCTAATGATTAAGATGAAATTTAATAAGCATATAGATTAGCAAACTTATCACCTTATAGAATTCCTTTATTATTATAAAGTAGTCTATTATTAAGATTGGTTGATGATAAAAATTATTATATTAAAGTTGTTAAAATAATATTAGAGATTTTTCTATAAGTTTACTAATAATGGCAAGAAATTTTGTAATCTTTGTAAAAATAATCAAATCTATTATATTTTTAAGGAGGATCATCATCAATTTAGATTAATATGAATCCTTTACCAATATAATAAATTGAAGTAAGAATGAAATTAAGATTAATTATGTAAGAGAATGAAATAGTTAGTATGTAATACTTAGATAGAATGAGTTTTGGATCATTTTTAGTTAATTCTGAATATGTTGGAAAATTAATAATATTTACATTATGTTTTACAAAAAATCAAGAAATTCAAATTGCAATTAATAAATAGAAATTTATAATAATTTATAAATCTGATGAACCTGATTAAGAAGAAGGGATTTAAACAAATTTTGATTTATCATAATGGTTTAATTTGAATTTTTACATAAAAAATAATCAATAAATGATACT